GTAAAGAGCATCCTTTTTATCCGCCACAGATGTTGATCTGTTCCCCAGTATTCGACTCCCATCTGGTAGAAATGTGAGAATCCCCGCTGAGGTTTTTTAAGGAAAATGTAGAATTAGATCACGCTGCACCCAGCATACAACACCATAGTCTACATACGTATATATCCTGTTATGTAAATTCTACAAAATATAAACCACGTAATAACATGGTTAGAGTTATATGGATTTGTTTTTTGTTTTCAAGTTCTGAGCAAAATTAAAATTGGCTAATATTTTAATATTGTAACATATTTTTCAGCGATTAAAATTCTGTCTTAAAATGCAAAACAAATTTAAAGACGTGATATTCCTCTACACCATCATTTATATCAATGTAATACATGTATAATTACAAGCGGTATTGGAAAACTCTATTTTTATACCGTTTAAAAAGACTTTGATAATTAAAACTTAGTTTCTACCGAATATTGATAATATTTCTCTTCAGTCTTCACCGGTGTCGCTTTGTGGTACCGTAATGAGACTTTATGAAGAAATTATTAAATGCTGTCAACAAATAATAAATGATAGATAAAAGAGATCAAAGCTCCTATATTTAATTGTATATTGAGGTAGTGTTTCTCTTGAAAAATCTGGATAAATTGTTTGAAGACTGTAAACATGTCATAAACAGATAATATTAACACGTAGTTATAATGAATTTATTAGGTGCACGGAGGATACTGTTATCTGAATAAGAACAATTTTATTATAAAAACTGATTAATTAGCAGAAATGTCAGTCTCTTAATTGTGTGTATCGATTCTCAGTTGAACGATTTGCAGTAATCATAACTGTGACACGGAGCTAAGATGAGATAATTGATAACGGCAGGGTGATAATTAGGCGCAGTCCGAAGATCACCGGTCAAATCTTCCGTGACGGAGTGCATCTGGCAGCCAATGAGTATAGCCCATCTGTAAGTGACAGCATGAACACATTTGCACTTCTGTATATAAACGGAAGCATTGATGAATAACTTTACCATTCTAACAATGGAAGCACAATCATTCACTTCTAAGCGATTTATGCCTTTGGAGATGCTGACCGACGAAGTTCCCATGGAGACTGATGTTGATATGGTGGACGAGGAAGAGAAGCTGTTCCGCATGCAGATGGAGTTAGTCCATACAGAGCGGAAGTTCCGACGGGCCTGCGAACAGATCGTCCTCCTCAACTACAAGTTGTCCGGGATGCAGGCGAGGTACGAAAGCGCCAAGGAAAAGAACCTCCGGACATTCCGCTACACTTATCGTCTCCAGCTCGCCGCCATTGAAGGGATCAAGAACGTGTACCATGACTACGCCGTGACCCAGGCCGAGAAGATCCGAAGTCTACAGATGGAGATCTTTGGAGAGGTTCCTGACGACTCGGATGAAGATCCCGAAGAGTTTGATGTAGTAGACCAGGTCTGAGAGGAGAATAAGCTTCAGATCAAGTCATTTTCTCCATGGCGTCCCCACCCGCCAGTCATTGCCACAGACAAACAAACCCTCAGAGGTTTCCAGATTTCAGAGCAGTATGGTCAATCATACATGTAACAATCAACGGCCCTTTTCAGGGCCATCCAATTGTTTCGAAAAGATGCCTTCTTTAACAGTCGTGAAGAAAATATGACTGTGTGCATGCGTATTACATTAACTAGTGTAATTTGCTTGCTTCATTATCTTGCTCAATACACGTGCATGTTTAGAATGAATTCACGTTTGCTTCTCTTTTACAATTTAATTCAAGATAATAAATGATTATATCACATTGTTAAGATTATGTATTATGAGGGTTTATAAATGACAAATTATTAATTAATTATCAATATTTTTCTATATATTTTTTCTATTAATTTTCGGTCAAGATTGTTCGACACCTGTAATTGAAGGTTAATTGTTTTATTTGATTCTAGAAAGGGAATTTTTGCACATGTTAGCAATTTCTAATCCTTGACATCTCTTTCCTGTCTCAAGATGTCAGATCGGGGTACTTTAAATGCAATATGAGCTGCAACTTTGATGTTAAATTGGAAATTTTTGTTGCAATATTGTAATTTTAAAACTATTTAAATGACAGAAAATACTTCTATTGTTTATAACTGCAATGTAAGAACTATTTATATGCTTTGATTGAAGCAAAATTACATTTTTGTCGTCCAGTACAATATTGATATCTTATGTAAAACTATACATTCCATTGTATAGAAAACTTTCTTCTGAAAATTTTTTTAATACTTTACATTAGTCTAATTGATCATAAAGGTTTATCATATCAGCACATTTGAACAACAAAATAAAAATTCACAAAAATGCAGCTCATATTGCTTTAAACATTTCAGACAATCTGTCATTTAGTATTGACGGTACAAATTATTTACACGTGTACAGATATAAATATAAACAATAAAATGCTTTCTTTGGTTCTTATATATAGTATGGGAATTAATGTTGCAGAAAAAAATGCGTAACTGGCGCGGGTTATGTAATTTTTTGTTCTGCAATAGCTACAACGTTAATTCCCATACTAACAAAGAAAGAAAGACATTTTATTGTTTACATTTATATCTGTACAATAAATCATCTAAAGTAGGATTAATAAGATTAAATATTGTATTATTGATGTGTACATCATTGTACGTTTCATCGATGGAAGAAGAGCCACTGCTCAAGATATCTTTACAGGTGATATGCTTATTGCTATTTTCTGACTGATAAACAGCAATTAATGGTTTTCTTAAGAAATAAAGAAGATATTCAGCGGATGTATATATATATATATATATATATATATATATATATATATATATATATATATATATATATATATATATATATATATATATATAACAGAAGTCCATAGATCAACGGTAGTCGGTTTTGCAGTATAATAAAAATATTTAAATAATAAATTGAAAACACGAAGAAATTAACACAGTAATGTTAATTTCTTCGTGTTTTCAATTGAATTATTGTCATTATAGAGAGAGAGAGAGACATATCTATCCTGTTCTGCTAGAGAATAGAAACAATTTTTTTCCCAGTAGATAGTGTAGAACTGTTGCAATATAAATCGACTTTGTAGTTTATGTTTATACAAACATCGTTCTCGATCTCAATCCGTAAAATAATAATTAATAACAATTCTTTATTATTAAAAAAATCCATCTAGTCTATAGAAAGATTCTTCTGGAACTGTATATTTCATGGTACACACGACACATGGTAGATCTCGACAGCACTACCCTAGGGACAAATTATGTAACTAAATGTTAGTAAGAAGATTTACACACGGAAGTCACACGTTTACCACAAAATACACCTTTGGGAGTCGTACACGTGTTACCATCCACCCTTAATTTGAAAGTCACACTACATATATTGACATAAGAATAAAATGCCGCGTGTCCGTCCTAAGTATGAGCTGTGTGTGGGCTTTGATGAGGTGAGTGACGATGAAGTTGGTGAGGAGGTGTGCGAGGAGGAAGAAGATCCTCCAGAGGAAGACAACGATTTCAATATTCGTCAGGTTTGGCAACAATTGAAACAGGAGGAGGAAGACAGAACGCGAGAAAAGGAGGATGAGAGAAAAGCGGGGGCCATCCGACAAAATAACAAGAGGGCCAAACAACGCAGCTCCTTTCTTGCCTGGAAAGAAAAGATTCAGGTTAGTGGCACCACAATTTACAGTCCAAGATAATGTTTTCATAGGCGCAAAAATTACGCGATTTGGTACAGAGCACCACAATCTAATTAGAATTAGATATTCCATTCGCTCCCCGATTTTTTATATGTCGCGGGGACATATAAAAATTCGGGGAGCGAATGGAAGATCTAATTTTAATTAGATTGAGAGCACCATTACCAAAAATGTTACATGACAGTAATTTTTTTAATATACAAATGCAATATCTGGTATTATACCAGTGCAAAGTCATAATTTTTATGGTAATCAAGATTGTCTTTTATTAACGATCAATAAAACTAAATTAAAGATTTTACATGTAGTAGAATTTACCAATCTATGGATAAATCATCTGGTTAATCATGGCAATTAAAATTTTAAATAAGACGTTAAAAATAATGTTTTCGTTTGTTAACCACACTTTGATTTAAATAAATGTACCAAGCATTCTGAGCTATAAACGATTATACAGGCAATGACAGATCTATATTTACTATAGTACTCAGTAATTTAAAAGTTGCTAAATGATGAAGGGAGAGCACCTACCGGATAACTCCTCTGACCGTACCAGTGAAAATTTAAATTGTCTATTTGAAAACCTGTTCTTCCATCAAAGACCCCCCTCCCCGCCCCCCCCCCCCCGCTATTTTGTTTGAATAACACAAAACTTATTTGGAGGTTCATGTCAGCAAATTTGGCTCTAGTTCTATTTGACCCCCCCCCCTTTCCACAATCTAAAAATAAGGAAAAAGATACTTTCCTCTCTATTTTCTCTCCAAACCAGTCTTGATATCATAGTGACAAAGAGATGACCGCTTTCAAGAATGAGTAATTATCATGATTATATACGTCCAAAGTATAGACAATCTGATTAAAATCAGATCCTCGATCCGCTCCTTTATTTTTTTTTATTGTCGCCTCGTGTAGCGACAATAAAAAAATCAAAGAGCGGATCGAGGATCTGATTTTAATCATATTGAAAGTATAGAGTTCTAGAAATGTCAAGACTTAAAGTTTGGGAAGTCAACACAACAAGGCATCGATCTCAGCAATGCAGATTTAAAGGCTTAATTTTTTTTTTTAATTTAAGCTTTCATCAAAATATTTCGTATCTTGGGCTTTTCCACTCATCCATAACACAACAAAGACCTAGTATCTGAAATTCAGTGCTCCCAATGTGCGAATGTGTTCAGAAGAAGGAGACAGATCAGTTTTTTTTCCCCCAAATTTAGATCCGCCACATTGTTAATAATTTCCTCAATCATCGAGACGCTTTTCCGTTACAATAAACTCCGCTTTAAAAAGCATTCAGTCGATGTAGACAAAAGTCCACGTAAACATGGCTGACAGAAAGAAAAAACAGAAGAAAATTGATTCTGTATGAAGTTTTAAATATAATTCCATTATTTTAATTAACATTTCACTGAAAAAGATGAAATCGAAGATATTTTGCTTTAAATTATTAATCTCATTGATATAGTTCATGGTACCTTCTCACATTGAATTCTAAAGCTGGAAAACAGCTGTGTTCTTTTGATTTGTTACTCTCACTTTCTGTAGTTGTTCCGTATCGAAACAAAACAGATTTTCCCTTATACTAAATATTGGATAAGACGGAGTGAACGTTTGTTTTGTATCACGGTATTTTTTAACAAGATGATTTAATCTAAGTTTTAAACGCTTTTTTATTTGAATCAATATTTTTTTTAAATAGGAAAATGAAAAACCATCAAAGGAGGAATATGCCATTGCCAAGCACTTGCGGTTCACTTGTCCAGTTAAAGAGGCCAAGTTTGTTCCAATGCAGAACATGGTCAAGTGTTTTTATGGTAAGTCAGTGCAAAAAGCTATGTAGCTAGAATTTTTAGCTACTCAAAGAAGCTTGATTAAGCTAATTTAATACAAGTTTTCACAAGTTCACTTTTTATCTAAAATAGACAACAACCAAAAATTGCAAGTATGTAACTACTAATATTTGTACTGTGGAGTTTTAAAAAGCAAACTAGAGCAAAGATATTTTATACATTGCTGTTTTTGAACACTTTTAAGCAAAAGATGTATTGTCATTGTTTGAGTAACTGCATGCCATCTACTTAAAAAAATCCAACTGTATCTTGGGACAAGCCCTCACCACAGTTAGAATATGCCCCATATACTTGTAATGTAGCAAATTGGAGTAGATCCACTTCATATTGATTTTGAAGAATACAAAAGGAGTTGCACTGAAAATAACTACCAAATTAATCATAACAAACCTTTTTGAGATCGTATATGCCTTTTAACCTAAAAAATAAGCCATGTAAATACGAAAATTAAACTCATTTTCTCAACGTATTTTCCTCACTTCATATTTACATGCCATTTTGACATTCGGAACTCTCTGGATTGTTCATAGAAAATGCACAGAGTTAGAGTTATCGCCCATGTTTATTTTGCTACATTGCCAATACACTGAATGAATCATTAAAAGCGGGTCTGTAGGACAATATCATTTTTATTTTTAACGATAGAATGTTCTATCTACACACCATCTTGTGTGGCAAGGCATGGTTAAGTCTGATTACCGTACATTGTGCTGAATTATTACCAATCAATTATCCTGTTAACCTCTCCTGGTCTCCTTATTTCATTCAGAAAGTAACTGTTTAGTCACAAATTAACTGTTTATATTTTTGAAATTTGATTGCACATTGCTCTGCGGGAGACACATATATTGAAAAGTGATTTTTTTTCATAAATTGTTTTCAGATCAGTTCAAAGTTGAAAACTATCACTGCATCAAAGTGCAATTTTTCCTTCATGTTGAATAAAATGCTCATTCAGAAATAAGTATATGATTCATTAGCTAAATTAAGCTACTTGGAATAAGCTAAATAAAGCTATGGAGGTAATTTGAGCTACGTAGCTAATTGAGTAATTGTACCAGTCCTGTTAATTTTTTATTTTTTATTAGCAAAATGGATATGCTTCTATTTCTGTTCAGACTTCTTGTGCATAGTGCAAAGTTGGGCATATACATAATTATTTATTTTCATATAATATTTTAGGAAACCAGGCCATAGACACTCTGATGGATTCCAAATGGGCAAAATCTTCAAAGAGTGAAATTCAATTTACAGACAGAAAATCTTGCCTGTATTTTCTGGAAAGGTAAAATACAATGCCTATACGATTGACATTTTTGAATACTCATTTATTGTGATATGATTTATCAAATAATTCAAAGTTTGAATAAATGTATAACCAATATTCCTTAGATATTGATGTTGTATTACTAATAATGTGCAATAAAATCATGTTGTAATAGTAAGGCCATAAATAATATTCTAAGGATTGTGTCTTCTTGAATTGTAGGTTAATGGTAAAAGGATTATTTCACCGAGCCACAAAAATTGAAAGGGGTAAAAAAGACAAAGATAAATTAAAAAAGAAAAAGAAGGATGAAGAAATAGAAGATGAGAAGGTGACAATCGACTCAAAATTTCTATTTGATCAAAAGTTTCTTATAAAATTGAACATCAACCGATTCAATGATAGGTGCACATGTGTCATTATTACCTTTTAATAGTTACTGTATATCAAAACAGAATAGTAGAAGTCAAATGATTTTCATCTTCAGGAAAAGAAAAGCAAAAAGGAGAAAAAGAAAATAAAAGATAAAGATGCCAAGGATTCTGATGCTGACAAACCGGACACAGTAGACGAAAAGAAGGTAATTGTTTATATATGTCCTCTACAGTCTTAGAATCTTTTTTTTTTGGGGGGGGGGGGGTCAAATTTCATGGTTAAGACAAAAAAATAAAGTTTGTTGTTAAGTAAATCCTTGTGCTATTCTACAATTAGTAATCTTTGAATTTTGTTGATAACATAATTTCATGTCTGGCTCAGCCACAAGAGCAAACAAAATCTGTGTTTAACAAAAAATTATAATACCACAGTATCAAGGTATGTGTCCATTCATGTTTTAAAACCTGATTATGAATTTACTTCAATGATAACATTAAGACATTTTGTTTATGGCAAATTTTGCATTATAGAGCTTTTGATCAATGTTTAGGTTGAAGAAAAAGAGAAAAAGAAGGATGAACCAAAGAAAGATGAAGAAAAGAAAAAGAAAGAAAAGAAGCTTAGACTGGACATGGCAGAGGAACAGAGATTTATTGATGGGGAGGAGGTATATACTGATAATCTAAAGACAATTAAGAACGCACATAATACTAGTAATCTATGTACAGATCTAACAGTTAAGTACTGTACTTATTAATGAGCCAAGCTACAATACACAAAAATACACAATTAAATTTTCAGTTGACATATATTGGATTTTGACAGTGTTAAAAATGTTTTCTTAAGAATTTAAGAGAATTAGAGGTGGCCAGGTAATGTATGTGTTTTTACCATCCTAAAGACATTCCCTATCATCTTTACAGATATATGTGTGGATTTATGATCCTGTTCCAATGTCCACATTTTTAATAGGACTATTGATGGGTATGTAAAAAAAAAAGTCTCGTAAGCATGAAGACTATCATCTTTACGCTATACTGTGAAATCACTAGTTTTTATGGGGGTGTTATTTTCATTGTTTTCAAGGTATGGTGAGATCCACGAATTCATGTCATCCATGAATTGTAAATTTTTAAACGTTTAGCAACTCGGCATTTCTTCATCCATGAAATCAAAACCCCATGAACCAATATTTTTTTATATGAAAATATGTGATTTTACAGTATTGTGAGGAAATAATTTCATCAGACTTTAAGCATATTTGTATTTGTGGAAAAGTCATTTTAAATTTCAGACATGCAATGCAAGTATGGAATACAGGTGAGACATAAATATAGTTCTCTTTTGTGATACCTGTGAATTTATCATTTTTCTTCACCTTTTCAGTGCTTGGTGCTGCTTTACTGTGTGTGTTCCCACTGTGGCCTGATTGGCTGAGAGTGGCTGTTTATTACGTCAGTTTAGTTGGAGCCAGCTTTGTTGGTTTCATTCTGTTCCTGGCAGTCAGTAAGTCTTATTAACGTGACTCCAATTCCAGATCACCATCAATCCATTTAACAAGAGGTTCATGACAAGCAAGATAAACATGTATTTGGATGGTATTGTCATCCCTCCAAGACACAATAAACTCTATAATTAATATACCTATGCAGTAAAGTCATTTTGTGTCACCAAAAAGTACAAATTTTGTAATAATTATTGGAAGATACCCCACCCCTCCCCTCCTAAAAAAATATCGAAGAAAATTTCATAAACCAAAAACCCCCCCTTTTTTTTTTAAATAGGCTGTACACAAACTAATGAATTACTAGTAAGTGAACATGTACTTTGAATTTTAATCAGTATAAGGATTTAATGCCATTGTTTCTTTTAACTTGTTCAATTTTTCTACTACAGTTCGAGGAATTCTATTTTGTGTTCTGTGGGTTTTAACACTGGGCAAAGTGCATCTATGGATTCTACCCAATCTAACAGAGGATGTGGGATTCTTTGACTCATTCAAGCCATTATATACATACAAAGTCATAAACAAAGAGGAACAGGAAAAAGAGAAAAAGAAGAAAGAAGAAAAGCGGAAAAAGAGAAAGAAAAGGGAACAGGAGGCTGGGGACTCAGAGAGTGAAACAAACGATAAAAACGAGGAAGAACAAGGTCAGGAGGAGGAGGAAGAGGGACAGAATGGGGACCAGGAATTTGAAATGGTACAGAGGGAAGAGTTAGAGGATGAAGAGGAAGAGGAAGCAGAGGGCTCTGAGGAAGGGGAGGTCACTGGAACAGAGGAGGAAGACAAAAAGACAAAGTGAGAACAAAACAGAGAACTGTTGACGGGGGAAGATCTCCACTGAAATATGGGGAGGAGATGGGAGTTGTTCAAGGATACATGTAAATTATGTCATACATTTTTAAATTTTAAGACCTTTTTAGTCTAGTATTTGTGAGATTAAGTTTTTGAAATTAAAAGTTGATGTACGGTATTTATTTAAAAGTACAAATTGTTCAGGAATTTGTTCTTTATGAAAAGCAATACATTTTAATGTATGGAAAGAATCTGGGGGGATAAGACGAGCCATGTGCCCATGCCCATTTTTCGGCTATGCAAGAACATTTATTGGAAAAAATCTCTCAATTGTTCGAATTTACTTAAGCATTTTAATGTTTACCGTAGTTTTCAAAATGATATTTATATTCTAAACAAGCTAAACAGTTGACTTTCATTTACTGTCACAAATGTCTAACATGGGTAAGGACTTCTATTAATTCTATTAATTAATTCTGCATATTGAGTGTTTACACTTATTGTGGAGATATTATAAAAATGTTAACATCGTATATAATGATAATGGTGATCTAGAAGCGCTTTTATTTAAAATAAATAAAAACGGGAATAAAAGTATTCAAATATCTATTATAATTTTTATCCGGCATTTTAAATAATTTACTGTAAATAAGTTCATTACTACATGTATATATTTTATTTCCAGTGAAAAATATGTTATTCCTATAGACATTTTTTATAAAGTAAAACAAAATTAAAACCAAAAAAATAATTAAAAAAAAAACAAACAAAAAAATCAGAGCATGACTCGAACACTTCCCTCAATAAACGTCCCTTGAAAGAGCTCCTCGCTAACCACTAGACCACGGAGTCACACTTACAAGTCTATTTAAATAGCATACAGTTCTCTATATTTAGCAAGCGTTTTTGGACTTAGAAATTTTTAAGACCACGGTGAAAATTTAAGTAAGTTAACTTAATTTTTTATGTAGAGTGGGTCTTCATACCAAATTTTTGCAAGTGTAAAAAGCAACATCTTTCCATTGCCTTTCATTAATCGTTCTCAAAAAAATGGTACGATGACCCACTCGATTTAAAAAATGTAGTTATATCATCCAATTTATGTTAGTTTCTGTGAAAATTGAGCGTGATGCCATTTTGCAGTGTTAATCAGAATCATTTTCGCTGTTACAGTATTCAGGTTTTGTCAAATTTGTATGCAAATGGTAATAAGCATTACATTAATTCAACAAAAAGTGAAATTTTTGTAAAATGAATTTATTGACTTTTTATCGATCGTTATGTAGGCATATGGCTCGGCTTATCCCCCCAGTTTCTTTAGCTGTTTCCACATATTTTTGACACAGAACAATTATCCCTCAAATTTTTTCTTCTTAAACTTGACAACAAAAGCTGCATTTACATATCTAACATTAATTTCATATTAATAATCATTTTTGTAAATGCCATATTTTACAACCTAAGAATAATTCTCCCCATTACATTGTTTATATACATATTATGAAGCTTGAATCTCTTAAGATTTATTGTTAAAGCTTCAAAGGATCTTGTTTTTATTAAATGTTGTTAATAAAGGTGATTGTCAGACAAATTTTCAATACTGTTTTCTTTCCAAATACAGTCAAACCTCCTTATTTTGAACTTGAAGGGGCTGAGAAAAAACCACGAGATATCTGAGGATTTGAGGGATAAGTGGTTGGGACTTCCAAATCACTTCAACATAGCCATGGTATTCTAGATATCAGTGTTCAAGATGTCGAAGTTCAACTGTACTTGTAGATACATGTACATATGTGTAGCTGTCAATTTCAATCTTTTTAAAGAATTTAAAAAATTTCTTTTAAAGAAAGTTGAAGGGATATACAATAGTACATGTACCTTATCAGTATTTGTTTTACTACACTGGTAGAAAAGTGATGCATGTTCTTAATATTTTCCAATTCAATAATGAAAATGCTTCCTTGAATCAAGAGTGACTGAAAACTCTGAAAGGGTTTCCTCACTGGGCAGACATCTGGATAAATGGCAATAGAACATTGTATTGCATTGTATTTTTATTAATACTAGTAAACAACGTCATACAAAATGAAAAGTACAGCAGGCGTATCACTATCTCAATAATATACATGTACTACTTTAAAAATTGACTGGAATATTACATATATGGAAACTTTTAAACAGAAGTACACATGCACCTGTATTTGATTCATTGAAATTGATCTCTTCCATGCCATTTTGCTTTTAAAGACAAAGGCGAACAGACAATATCCGTGGTTCTTTAAGAAAGACGCATAATCCAAAGGGATGTGGCTTCAGTCCACTACAGGGGAAACACTAATTAATGGCACTTAAATGTATCAATTTACAGTTTGCTTGATTAAGATTGCAGATTGAAGTGTATTGTGTTCAAGGACACAGTATAATTTTATTACCATATTTGTCTAAATGATTAATCACTTGCTTCACAAAAATTCTAATGTATAAAGTACATGTACCGTAGACATTCATAAATTAGATTGCAGCACTGTTAAGTTCAGTAACAATGATAAATATGGAAAATACATAAAACAATGTATATACACATGTATATAGCACAAAATTAGCACTTACATGATTTAGATGCAGGGTATCGCACAATGTAGATAAATATGGATGACTAGTTACCAAAGCCATATGAAACAAAGGGGAATTGATTCGACACTCACATTTAATATACACAAACAACATCTGAATTTTAAAGGTTGTTCACAAAGTGAATTTGAACTCATTATAAACATTCAGAACATCATTTAAACATCACACCACTGCATTTTAAAAAAATTATTTAAACAATCCATGATTTTCTTGTATACAATTTCTAAAAAATGCCCATATCACTTTCTTCATATTCCTGCAAACCAAGCTTCCTTCAAATTAATTTTTCTGTCATTTGCCTTTGCTTACATTTTTATACATACTTGTATAAAAATTACAGAGATATTAAAGATAGAATACAAAGAAATTTCACAAAAACACAATTATCACATCATAAAGTAGTACAAACAACCTGCAACTTACTGCAAGAATGGACACCACTCATAAAACACCGACATGTAATGGTAAAGACCTTAATTACCAGAATGGCCTTGATGCCACTCATAACAATATACAGATTCTTGGAGGCAGAGGCCTTCATTAGAGTTAAACCATGTGGGATTTGGATTCTCTACCAGAATGGACACCACCCAATGTAACACTGACACAGATTTTCGTGGGAGGTGGCTTGTTTGATTAGAAGATCCACTTGGGTGGTGACATCAATGGCATCCCCAGAGGAGAAGTCCTTACCAGTCAGTTTGTCCCTGACCCGGTTAATGATGGACAGTGCTTTCTTGTTGATGACCTCTGCCTGGAAATTGTCACCACTAACAGAGCTGGCCGTCTCAGGGGCCGAGCGTTTATGGGCTGTCTGACTCATATCAACGTTCTCTAACATGTCTGCCTGTTCTTGGCTTCCACCTGAGTACGAGTCTTTTGTTTTTGTTTTTCCCTTGGCTGTAGCTGAAATAATGTCTCAGAATTTAAAGAATCAAACAGAAACTTACATGAACTTGTTTAAAATTATTCAAATTTGATACTTTTAAAGACAGAAAAAGCATCCCATTGTCATGACGTTAACTTGCAGTTCTTTAAATGACTATGTGAAAGGATGGCAAGTAAATTATAAAATCAATCATGAAACCAGTTCTTTAAATGACTATGTGAAAGGATGGCAAGTAAATTATAAAATCAATCATGAAACATGCTGACCTAACCATGTTTCAACCCTAGCGAACAACATAATACATACTGTCCATAAGTCTCCAGTTCAGCAGGGGATCATAAACAAATGCTTCCAGTACAGCCATCAAACTGTCCTTGTGTTCTCGTAATACCTCCATCACGCTCTCACAGGTCATCTTGTAGTTACCATCAATACCAGTCACCTAACAAATTACAGATTTAATTTATACACATAAAGACCTAAAGTATTTCCTAGTCAACTGCCAAGTGAAAACATTTCTTTGTCAAGTCCAAATACATGTTATTTTGTAAAAAAGATGCAAATATTCTTAAGGAAGTGAACACATGTAAAGTGAATATAAATTTATTTTTTTTTATAAATGCTGTAAATGAATGTATCTTTACATGTCTAATAAGTAAAACAAACCTCCATAGCATTGATCAACATGCGGGTCAGACGGAAAGGAATCTTTTCTGGGAACTTTTCCCTCACCATGGCAACCTCAAAACAGTCACCAAAGTCAATGTGAATCACTTTACCACTCGTGCGGTCCAGCATTAGATTGGAAGGATGTCTACAAGACAATGAAGGGTTATACGAGTGGATTAAAATGCAGTTCATGAATGGCATGTACTGTATTCTATTAACATCATTAACTTAAGGACAGATGATACAAACAAATTTTTATCAAAAATCTTGAAAATAACAACTAAAGTCATGTTTATATACCGGTAAGTAAATTGAAAAACTGCATAGATTTTTATTTTTCTTTTAAAATTTCACAATAATTGGATTTAAAGTGACAAAAATTTGTATAGATTAACAAGGATAGTTACAAAAAGGTGGACTTTTGAACATCGTAGAAAATTTACAATTTCTTAATATTTTAGAAATTGAATATTCTAATCATTTAGAACCAAAATAGGTCAAAAAATATATACCAATCCAGGCATCCATTTTTTCCTTTGTATCATCTGTCCTTAATACCATATTCTACATATTAAAAAAATCTCGGAATGCTTTGATTTACCTGTCTCCCAGCCCCAGTACATAACCAACCATTGACATCACAGCCAGAGAACGTGTGTAGTTTGTGCGTCTATCAAACCACACCTGTCAAAAGCAAATAAACACATTAAGATGTGTTTACGCCAAGTAGAGGTAACACTACTAACAAGGTGACTGGCACATGCAAATTTCTATTTCACTTTAATGACAATTAAGACTGGAGCATATCAATACCTCTGAGCTGGGGCTCTTGTACCACAGAATTTTAGCCAGGTCATCTCCTTGTGTGTGCTCTAGAGCATGCTCAAAGACCTCGACCTTCTGCATCAAGGTCAGGTGATCATAGTCAGGTGCCATCTACACAAAACAAAAACTGAAATCTGTTAAACTTTCAATCTGTTTGTTAAACATATTTGTGATGAACTATATTTTAACTACTGTAAATGCAGCTCCTACCCTAAGCATGAGCCTATGTTCAATATTCAGTAAGATTTTCTTTTTCTCTCTGTAATCACGGATCAGTGAATGAAGAGTGTCTGTATGAGGAACCCAGCCAATCAAACCCGAATTAGTGGAAAGTGGAATAACAGAAAATCGCTGTATTCTGCAAAAGAAGCAAACAAATTCCTCATCAAATTCAGTATTTTTGAAGAAAGAAAAAAGAAAAAAATTTAATAAACTGATGAAAATTTACACTGACCTATACCCAAGAGTGAAACAAGTCTGAATTCCGAATGTTTTAATTTTCAAGTACATGTATAATAACATTAGATTGTCAAAATAATCATGTAAAATGATTCAGCATGTGTTAGAGAAAGACTTACGTGAGGTTTCTTCTGAAGGTCTCTGGATTTTCTACAAGGAGAGAATTAACCAATCCAAAGAGCTGCATGACACGTTCATCTTGTCTGAGATCTTCATGACCCTTCAATAAAAACATGTATTCCAGACCATTGGATCCTGTTTAAACAAAAGAAAATAATAAAATGTAAATAATCTTTTTTATTTTATCCAAATTTACTGTGTGTAGACAATAAAATACAGTGCACACATAGAATACAGTGATGACTTACCAAATATACTGAGTTTTCTTGGTCTCTGTTTTGATGTGATGACCTGGAGTGAACTTTGACATCTTCGGATCTTTTCGATTGGTTGATTGGGTTCGTATTTCCCTGGGACAGCTAACTCTAGATCCTGACAGCGGAGAAGTTTGGGGGAGACATACTGCAGTTCTAGAGAAGTCAGCTGTGAAAATAAAATTAAACATTAACAACTTAGGTATACATGCAACATTACTTTGCTTATGCATTTACAGTACATATAGTATGTAAAAAAACAAGCATATAAAATACAACATATTTGCTCTTCAATAAGTTCATCTAAGGAAAATATTTGCAAATATAAATGTATGAAAATTATTATCATAGTGTTTCCAATGTAAAAAAAACAGCATTGCAACAGAAGAGCAAGAAATGATAGTGTTGCTTTGGATAATTTGTTTTAAAACATTTAACACTTCAGATCAACCATGTAATGCCTGTACAGAATACACTTACCTGAGGGAGCTGTTTAGAAATCCTCCTGAACACATGATAGTAGAGATCCCAGGCCTGGGTCAGGTCTTTGACATTCTCTGATCTCTGGTACTTCCTACACCATTCCTGGGCCTCCATCAAGTCACGACCGTAAGCCTGATAAAGACCAGAAATAAGTCACATACCAATCAAGTCTCGACCATAAGCCTGATAAAGACCAAAAATAAGTCAAATCCCAAATCAATTCACGACCATAAGCCTAACAAAGACTAAAAATAAGTCACATCCCAAACAAGTCATGACCATAAGCCTAACAATGACCAAGAATAAGTCACATCCCAATCAAATCACAACTATAAGCCTAAAATAGACCAAAAATAAGTCATATCCCAATCAAGTCACGACCATAAAGCCTAATGAAGACTGAAAAATAAGTCACACCCCAATCAAGTCATGACCATAAGCCTGACAAAGACCAAAAATAAGTCACATCCCAATCAAGTCAAGGCCATAAGCCTGACAAAGACCAAAAATAAGTCACATCCCAATCAAGTCATGTCCATAAGCCTGACAAAGACCAAAAATAAGTCACATCCCAATCAAGTCACTTAAGCCTGACAAAGACCAACAAGAGGCCCAAGGGCCTTGAATCGCTCTTCTGATTAACTGTACAACTTATCTCTTCTATTTGAAGCCTCTAAGTATCCTGTATATTTAAATAAAGCCTTGAAATTCCAAAGGTAGGTCATCATGACCTACATTTTAGATGAAACACTCTGAGAACCCAAGATGATTCTAAGCCAATTAGTACCTCAGAGTAGGTCATGGTGACCTACTTATCACTTGCCATTCTCTGAGGACCCAAGATGCATCAACTAAGTTTGATGATTCTAAGCTAATTAATTCCTAAATATTTTCAAAATTATATCCATAAAATTTCAAAAGTAGGTCACAGATGACATACTTTGAGGACCCAAGATGCATCAACTGACAAAGTTTGATGATTCTAAGCCAATAAGTACCTGATATATTTAAATAAAGCCGTAAAATTTCTAAAATGGGTCACAGTGACCTCCTTTTCAGTCGACTAACTCTGCGGACCCAAGATGCATCAGCTGACAAAGTTTGATGATTCTAATCCAGTTAGAACCCGAAATATTTAATTAAAGTCATACATTTTCAAAAGTAGGTCATGGTGACCTACTTTTCAGTCGACCTACTCCAAAGACCCAAGATGCATCAACTGACAAAGTTTGATGATTCTAAGCCAATTAGTACTCGAAATATTTAATTAAAGCCAAAAATTTTCAAAAGTAGGTCACGGTGACCTACTTTTCAGTTGACGTTTTTCGAAGACCCAAGATGCATCAACTTACAAAGTTTTATGATAATAGGCCTTAAAATGTCCAAAATATGCCTCTAAAACACTTTGAAATCAAATGCCTGCAAAGTTCAAAAAGTAGGTCACTGTGACCTACTTTTTAATAAATATGTTTTATGGCCCCAAGATGCATAATCTTACAAGATTTAATGATTCTAAACCTCTCAGTATTCAAATTAATGACCTTAATTGTTTTGTAAAAGATAAGCCATAAAATTCAAAAAGTAGGTCAAGGTGACCTACTGTTTAGTCGACGTACTCTGACGACCCAAGATACATCAACTGACAAAGTTTGATGATCATAGGTCTTAAATTGTTCAAAATATGCCTCTAAATCATTTGGAAAAAGAATGGCCGCAAAATTTAAAAAGTAGGTCACCGTGACCTACTTTTGAGTCAACATATGAGGTCCTTAGATGCATCAACTGACAAGATTTGCTGATCCTAGTCCTTATAGTAAGCAAAATATCAACATTTTAATAAAATGTAATTTTTGGTCAACTTTGAAGTGACCTTGAGACCAAGCCCTTTGCCCCAGAGTAAATCCCCGTGCAAATTTTAATCTACAACATATCCTCAACCTTCTGTGTAAGTTGGTGATAATCTGTCCAGTGGTTCTTGAGAAGAAGATTTTTTAGCAACCAGTACTTTTGGTTTTATTTATCTGATTATCTCCCCTTGCTAAAGGGTCACAACCCTAGTTTTAGTATAAATGAAAGCCCTTGGACCAAGGATACCCTGTGACAAATTTGACAATAATTGGCCAATGGGTTCTTGAGTTATGGCCCATATTCTAAAAAAGTTTACGCACAAATGGCCATAGCCTTTGGCTCAGAAGAGCTAAAAATAAGTCACATCATAAACAATTCCTGTTTTCTTAGATTTTATATTATCCATTCAATTCACTTCATCAAACTGCAAATTTCATATTCAGTACTTATTTAAACCGATGTCAAACTTCTACAGGTCATTTTATTCATACCTGATTAAAGGAAGTTTCTTTGAGAGTCTGAGGACCACGTTCCACCATGTTATGCAATGGTTCCAGTGTAGCAAACATGCCCTTGATATCTCTCTCACCAAAGTACAACCTGGAGGCCTCCTCCAAACCCTCATGCCATAACTCGTGCCAGAGGATGGCCACTCGAATCAGTTCCTCACTCACCTGTACAAAGGTGAAGTAGATAAGATTATAGGAGTATCATGGACATTAATCTCTCAAATTCTATTTATTTTATGCAAATGCTTTAACAGTATTCCAGTATTTAACTTATAAAGACTGAGAGTACAGGAAGCACTGTCTACTGCTTGCAATTCATCAAGAGTAAACAGATGAAGTTACAATATTTGTTTTCCTTATACTAGAACTTACATGATGAATTCCTGAATTGAAATTAAATGTGAGAACTCACCAACATGGCCTGTTGTACCAGTGTGTTGCTGTGCTCACACATGTTCTTCAGGATTTTATTGGCTGCTGTCTGACGAGTTGGAACATTAGACTTTGAAGCCACTGTTAGAGGGTAGATCAAGGCCTGAAAAAGAGTGGAGGAAACTCATGGAAATGTGGCAAGTCTAACAGCAAAATGGTTCTCTACATTTCATCATATTCTGCTGGAATTTAAGTTATTGGATGTAATTTTAGATCTGTATTTTATGGCACTGATACATATACAACTCATCATTTGAAACCAATCTACGACTTCTTCTATGTGACAAAAATATACCTGTGGGTGTGCTTTTCCAATGTCAATTAAGAGTTGACTTATAAGTCGACTGACAAGGGGGCGTGGAATGTCAATTCTAGCTATCAACTGAGGAATAACCTACAAATTATAAATATAAATCAAACTCAGTATCCAGACTTGTATCATCTAAAGCTAAATACAAATGTGGAATGTCAATTCTAACTATCAACTGAGGAATAACCTACAAATCACAAGTATAAATCAAGCTCAGTATTCACACCTGTATCATTTAAAGCTAAATACAAAGGAAATATTCAAACAATAAGTATGATACATTAGTTTGGTCAATGGACATCTCACCTGTAGCCAGTTCTCCACCTGTATTGTCTTGTATTAACAATAAGTATGATACATTAGTTTGATCAATGGACATCTCACCTGTAGCCAGTTCTCCACCTGTATTGTCTTGTATTAACAATAAGTATGATACATTAGTTTGATCAATGGACATCTCACCTGTAGCCAGTTCTCCACCTGTATTGTCTTGTATTAACAATAAGTATGATACATTAGTTTGATCAATGGACATCTCACCTGTAGCCAGTTCTCCACCTGTATTGTCTTGATTCCTTCATTTAATGCCTCGTATACTTCTGGCCACTGACCATAGTCAAACATCAGGGTCAACAACCTACAAGTACAAATCATTGCTACTAATTCCTACTACACTGCAAACAACCACATCAAAGAATACTTAAATTTCTCACTCAGCACTAAACAAGAACATATATATACAAATGTACATGAATTAAAATATGCAGTAAAAACTCCAGCACTACTACTACCTTAGAGTGTCCTGCAAACTTTTATGCTGGTATAGAGAAATGGACCGGAAAAATCCTTGAACTGCCAAAACACAGTACTTGTGCATCTTAGAGGTGGTCTACAGAAGCAATAAATACAGCTTACAGTAAAGATATTTATACTTAGTAGAGATTTTAGCAAATAATTTCACTTTACAAATGTTGAAAATATTACCGAAACATTGCTGTCATTCTTTGGTGAGAGAGGGGCATCACCCCGCCCTGGGCCAATATCCCCAGGGGATTGAGGGACAGCACCACTCTTCTCTGACTGTTTGTAGAATAAGACTGCCTCATAGTTGATCAAAGCCCATCCATGCCAGGCCTAAGAAAATTAAGATTAATTAAGAAACAGACAGGTAAAGAAAATTTTTTTGACTTTCAGCTTTGCTCTAGCCTTCTTAGAAGTAATATCAAATCAATTACAAAATCTTACTGTCCAACATATCAATTTAACTCAGGGAAAGGGCTAAAACAGCTAAACCTTCTACCCAATCCCATTCACTTTTGTGAATAAAATATTAAATTAAATATCAACCTAACTTACATAATGCTTCATACTGCAGTCTCTTGTTAACAGAAATATCTGCCACTGACCATTTTATCCTTACCTTGTACCAATACTTGTCATATTCGGTGGCCAGACTGTAATACTCCAGAATCTGGGTCACAGAATCCTCATTAACTCCGTACAAGGTCTCTGCCCAATCACCAAGCTTCAGATAACATCTAGTAATAAACATCTTGTTTGAGAGCCTCTAATATACGGTACATGTAAAATAACAATGCTTTTGAAATCTTTTTTTCCTGAGGAGAAATTGACATGGCAATTAGCTTGCTAAGTTAATTTGATTTAGATGACCATTAATGAGTTCTGAAAGGATCATTCAGCAAATTTTCCCTGTGTTATGCTTAGATTTAACTGCCTAGTATTTTATAGTTTTCATTGTTCTTCTGAGTTACCTGGCTGGTAACTTAAATAGTGCAGAGTCAATCTTTCGTAATGAAAATGTTGGTTCAGGGGGATTTGACTTTTTGGTTGAAAAAGTGATGATAGACACACATGATACTGTTGTTTGAAATTTAAACATTTTCTGGAGGACATGAATTCATATAGGTTTTTGCATATGTCTAAATCATCGAAAATTAAACCCTCACAAAAAATTAGTGATTTCACAGTATTGGGTTCTAATGTACCTGGCTAATAACTTGTTGAGCTGTGTTCTCTGCTGAGTATCCTCGGGAGTTATGAGCTGGAGAGCTCGAGTTTGAAGTGAGTGCTGAACAAAGTGTTGCAACTTACTGTAAGCAGAATCCTGAAAAAAAAAAAAGCATTGTAAAATCACATAGTGTAAAATTTTCATCAGTGAACAAATAATCATCACCATGGTATACTACTCTTCACATGGAGTTAAGTACAGATTTTAAGGAGGGTCTTACTCAAGTCACTTACCATTTTATTGTAATGTTGATCAATAAAATATACCAAAGTGGATTTCTTAGATTATGACCTGGGCATACCTTTTGGTTGTTCTTCCACATGTGTTTGAGGAAAGCAAAGGTGACCTGTGGATTGGTGGTGGGGATTGGCTTGTCCGGATTTTTAGCTGGATCCATACCAAGCAGCATTACCAGAGTCTTGTGTGATAATGCCTACATAGAGAATTTTGTTTTTTGTAACACTCAAAAATACAAAACTGAAAATTATGTACATGACATTTTTCTTGCACAATTCTTGCACCACAGACAAAAAGGTTAAAGTAAAATATCTTTGGTATGAAAATTTGTTTCAGATGGTTTTTCTCCCAGGAATTCTGTTTCACAAGCATTATTTTTTTTTTGAAAACAATAGGTACATGCACATGATAGCTTCTCAACATCCTGTACATGTAGATATCCACTTTATACTTGTGAACATTTTTTCATCATGACATGTTTGTTGTTTTCCTTCTTTATACTTACCAGTCTTCCACTTTTTCTACACAAGCTGGCATACTTCAGCCATGTTTTCATGTCTTCCAGTGGAGACACGACGAGGGATCGGACCTGGATGATTTTCTGCCAATCCTCCACCACTCGCTGACAACCCTGGAGACGGTCCCACCACATCTGTTTAATGGCCTCCTGGCGCTCGGGGACCAGTTTAAACTGCATCACCTCCTCCAGCTCAGACAGCATCTGTACATTTACCATGGCCTAGAAATGAAAATATCCATCCCTGTTATATGTTATTCCCTTTAACCCTGTTATATACACAGAGTCCAACTGTACTGTGAGGTACTTACACCATAAGCCCTATTATAACTTTCTCCAGCCATGGCTGTTAGCTCTGTGTCAAGAATATCCCGAGCTTTGTCAATACACTAAAAGTAAAAAAGAATACACTTCACCTAATGTAACTACACTTGCACAAAATGATGTTTGGCAAAAGAACTTTGTTAATCATATTCCTTACCTGTTGAGCAAGTTGGTAGTTTTCCGTGTGGAGAGCAAATACAGCTCGATAAAATGCTCCATTATAACTGTTCCTAGGAATCAGACACATGTATTCCTCCATACTGTCCCACTGACCTACAATTTACAATCAGTCTACTGCATAAAAATAACAATAGCAAGAACAAATAATCAGAAAAACTCACCTTTTTATATTCTTATTTATTCCTATTGACACTAATTCCAATTACCACTCTTTTTTATCTCATAATCTACTCAACAATGACAAAATACATGTACTCAAGTAATATTGATACTGACCAAGCCCCCAAGCAGCAGAAGCTGCCATTCTAGCCATGTTTGTCCTGTTTTCATCACTGCTGGTTCCCCACTTCTCACATGCTATCTGATGGAGCTGGCCCCTGGTGAAAACAGTCACACACTAGCAGTTTATTACAAAGATACAACTGAACTGAATATGCATGGCAAAACCAAATTAAAGTACATGTACCACAAGCATTCATAAATAACAGAAACATAATTTAAAGTAAATAATATTTCGATCTTGGTATGCTATTTTTCTTAATCATGTGATGATGCCTGGCTTATAACCAGGACTGTCAGCCTACCATTCTGCCAAGGCCTCGAGGCATCTCATTCTGCCTAGTGTAAGGTTGAAGTCATCTGGTTTCTCCTCCTGCTTTTTCTCATAAGCCTCAAAAGCCTTGTTCCATTCGTGGAGTTTCTCATACCAGCTCTCCTGTACCTTCTACAAATTTGCAAAAACAAAAAATAAAAATAAGGAAATTTAAGTCTACCTACCATGTAAATCTTTATCTGTAGTCCTCTCATCCACAATAAGGAATTTTAAAGCAATATGAGCAGCATTTTTGAAAATTTTATTTTGCTGTTAAAATGTGCTGTTATGATAAATCTGTATGTAATTTAATCCTTTATGATCAATTAGACTAAAATAAAGTAATCCTTATAAATAGTTCTTCCATCACAAATATGAACAACAGAAGTTTATACTTTTTTATACATTCTTTTTTTCTGCAATTGAAATAGTTTATTACAATACTGCAACAAATATTTCCGACATCAAAGTTGCAGCTCATATTGCTTTAACATTCTCAGGAAAAATGAATGTACATGTACATGCTGTACTGTAATTGGATAATTAAGATGTTGATGGTCTTAAAAATAAATATATCAGTTTTGTGATTCTCTTACGACTTGGATAAATAAGTTGTTGATTGACTTAACCGTCTTACCACATCAGTTCTGTGATTCTGTGCATACTGTAAAACACCAGACGCTGACTCAGGCTGCTGAAGCTTGTTGTTAATGCTGAAACACCAAAAGTCAAGATACACAACAGAGGATTATAATGTAGTACAGAAAACTTAAAAAAACATACTCTTAAAATTTATATTCTGTACTGTTATATCCAAAATAAAACTTAGATGTTGAGACCTATATTCTCATATTTTTATCTACCTGATCAAAGATTCCAGGGTAGCTGTAGTAGGACCCCTGTGGAACTCTTCTTCCTTGTAATGTAGAGCTTTAGCATATGCTCGGCACTTCATGGCCCGGGAACCCAACAGTGAGGTGTCTAAGGGCAATGGGCCCTGAAAAGTTTGGTGTCAAACTAACTCATTGTTCAAGAATGCCAAAAACATTTACACTGTATCAAATACTTTGTAAAAGTTACCGTGAATCCAAATAGAATTAAATGGATTTCCATGTAAATATATAGTTCTTACTTTATCACAGTGTTCCATGAACTCTGCGAGATTTAGCAAAGTCTGGGTGATCTCAGGAATCTCCTGAGATGTTAGAGCTTGCTCAAGACTGAGAATGAGTTCATCTTGCTGAGCCTCTGTTAACTCTGTCCAACACGACACAAAAGCAGCATTGAATAAATCCCTAAAAGAAAATCCATTCACTCTCTAACAATATATCCATTGAAACACTCAATAAAGAGTCTGTCGAATACACATACCTGTACCTGTATATGTTAACAGGATTTGGCCATTATACATTTTAAAGGTTCATCAGTCTTGAATCATCACAGCGTACTCGTGAGAGTGACTCATATAGACTTACTTTGCCAGTGAGTTGTAAGTCTGGGCCAGTGCCCAGCAGGAGCGGAGAGCTGGGGAGGGGGACTCCTTCAGGAGTTCTATACTAAGTCTTCTCAGCCATTCCATCCAGTCTTCCTTAGATTCCTTTCTCCCTGCCTCTAAAGCCTGTCACAAAAAAAAAACATCTATAAATTCAGACATCTTAAATTAACTCAGGTCTTGATTTTCTAAGCATCAGACAAGCTAAACGTACAAACTAAATTTGATAATTTCAATGCATGTAAATGTTTGCATTTTGTTATAAGTAGCTTGCTTGAGCTGTGATTTGACTTTCCAATTACTATTTAAAATTCAGTGGACATAATCAAACATTTATTACCTTTTGAAGGTTAGTAAAACTGACATGCAGCTTTTTAATGACAGCCGTGTCTGCCAGGGTATCACTAGACTCAGATGTCTTCCCACGATTCTTCTTGTGCTTCAGCAGAATCGGGTCATCTTCTTCTTCAGCAATAGTGGAAGCCTTGATAAACGATTCAAACTAAACTGATTCAAAACTTAAAAGAAATTACTCTAACTGTAACATTTTTATAAGACCTTTGTCTGACCTTGAGAATTCTAGCCATCAGTATGAAGTATCTTTGATGAGCGATTTTGTGTTTCTGTATGACTCTCTGGACCATTGGAATGAAGATGTTGAACTTAGGTCCCAGCTGTATCACCATGGCACACAGCGTATCCATTGCAGAGGATTGTAACTCCGGTACAGAATCCAGTGTCCTTACTAGAGGGTGGATGATACGTGATGCAAAGTCCGTCAGATCAAGGGTGTACGTCAATTTGTCCACAGTCTCTAGGGCGGTTCTTTGAAGAAAAAATAAAGATTTTATCCACAACAAAGTGGCAATGAATTTTTTTCAAAATTCAAACTAAAATACAATGTACGTGTAATATTTGATACCTCCTCATTCTGAAATCAGTTTTTATATTAATTGTCTACATCAATGATAACAAATGAAAAGCTATCTGTAGAGAAGATGCCATTCATAGAAGAGACCCCACTGACCTTTTAACAGACAGAGGCACATCAGGGCTGTCAAATAATTTGACCACAGGAGGGAGGAGAAGATGGAGATAGTCATCAAGATTGGCTCCAAACAACTGTAGGGCATTCAGCAACTGTCCAAAAATAACCCCTTTTCTAGTTAGTAATTAGCAAAACAGAAAATTTGGCTCAATAGTATATTCTTCATCTACAGCACCTCTTTTCTGAATTTTCTACCAATTTACCAGTATATACACAGAAACATGAATCTCTGGTTTAGCTGAAGAAAATGTTGCTTAAATGAACTGGATTAAGGAATGACAGTAGACTGGCCTGTGTCTGATAGAAGACTGGCCTGTGTCTGACAGTAGACTGGCCTGTGTCTGACAGACTGACTTGTGTCTGAAAGTAGACTGGCCTGTGCCTGATAGAAGTCTGGCATGTATCTGACAGTAGACTGGCCTGTATCTGACAGTAGACTGGCCTGTGCCTGATAGAAGACTGGCCTGTGCCTGTACTGACCTTGCCAGTCACTGCCCTGTTCTCACTAGAATCCTGCATGAAGACTTTCAGTATTTGGGGGATGATCTGAGGGAGGTAGATCCTGAATTCTGTCCCCAGGGCTGTTACAATTTGCTCCACCAGGTTGATAATTGTATTCTGCATGGTGCTGTTTGGACCCCAGTATTCCTACAAGGATTCAACGATTCAAATTACCTATTTACCAGAAAAGAATTATGAATATCAAACAATAGTTCTTAATAAGACATTTTATGCCAGATGAATTGTTAAATTTCGTCACATTACATGTACATGTATTATTACCAACATACAACAAAACCAACAAATTAGACTGTATTTAAAACCTTAGGAAGTGTTCCACAAGTTTCAAGCAATACCTTTATTATTGCAAAAATATCATCTAGATAATTCCTTATGTGCTGTTTGACGATGGCAATGATGACTCCTAGTTGTTGGAATAGAAACTGTTTAAAATAAAACATAAACATTCAAAATGCACAGCACATGAACTTATGAAATCTACAGAAGATATCTTCCTTAACATATTCATGGCGATAAAGAAACACTAAAAAAATATTAGCAAGTTTATAAAATAACTTTTTTTTTTATCAGAATGTAAAATATGTATGACCACATTTACTCCTAGGACTGACTATTCATTAATAGAACTGAATACATGTATTGCTAAAGGAATAACAAATGTGCCTGACCTCTCTAAATGTTTGATCAGCTGAGCGGATGACCAACAGGTAAGCTGGAATAACTTGCTGAATATAGGGAACACACTTAATCCCCAGACTCTTGAAGATGAAGGTGATTGCCTGGACCACCATTGTATGGTGCTGGGAAAGTGAAGGATCACGGATAATCCGCATCAAAGTTGCTATGGCAATGGCTGGATAGATCTCTTCTAAAGTGGTGGAGGCAGTCATGTTGGCCAACATTTCACTCGTGTTTTCTGAAGCCAGACAAAGTTTGTTTACAATGCTTCTTGAATTAGATTTTAAAATGTTTCCCTAAATAAATACTACATACATGAAAAATACGCTAATGGTAAAAGATCACCCCCTCCTTACATACTTAGAGGACTGTAAATCAACTCTGAGTCCTGTTCAACAAGCGCTCACCAAAATTTCTTATCCCTCCAACGGAAATGTTTGCAAGCGCTAGCGAATGCTCGCTCTGTTGAACAGGCCTCTGAATTCAGCAAATAGACATGGATTTTGAAATTTTTGAAAAAATGCCCTTTTGGAAGACATCATGTAATTATGAAAGACTACAATTTATTTGGCTGTCCCATAAGACCAGAGCTCCCACTGGAGCTAAAATATTTTTTGCCACTTTTCGCGATGAAAGGAATCACATTTTTACATCTTGTCTTGACAAGTGTATATGCTAAACACTCCACTAATAGGATTATTTCAATTTGTTTATTTCAAAGGCATTGTTTTAAAATTGTAAAGTTGCATTCACTTACAAAACTAATATAGGAATTATTTCTACATTTATACAATAAATTTGATCCTGATCTTAGCCAACTCTTGACAGTAGATGTCCTCTTGTTCACGACATTTTTTTAGCCTTGGGAGGGGGGTTACAGACTTAGTAAAGATATATGACATTTTTTTTAAAAAATGAAAAAAAAATAATATAAGTGAAAATTTTAATCATATCAACAATTTATTGTGAAAAGAAGTAATTAAAATCAGGTTTAAAACTTGGCTTAATTTAACAACTTGGACACTGGGTCTATGCATGTAAATTCATTTATTGAAAATAATTCAGCATAATTGACAAAAGTATTGTTTTGTTTCCAAGCCAGTATCTCTTTCACTCTTTGTCAGTTTATGGTATAATGAACACACTATTTTGACTTTAATCAGGTAAAATTAGCAGCCATGCTCTGCAATTTTCATCATGTTTTCCTACTTTTGGATTTAAAAAACAATCTATATAGATCCAGATTTTATTGATTAAATCTTTTATTAACTAACTTCATCTCCTAAAAACACTTTGTCTTTCCTTATTTAATCCATCTTATATTATTTCAAGTAATTTTGTATCCCCTTACTGCTCCAGGCTAAAGTTATCTAGTCAGCTGTGTGCATTCAAGCGAGATGTGATTTCCTAGACCTACATGTACATTGTTTTGTAAGTTTCATGGAGTTTTCACACCCTGAATTCAAATGTCTACTTGCATTACATAAACAAAGGAGCTAATCTGTATACATTGAATAAACAAAATAGATAGCCAGGAGTTCACACACTTTTCTATGGTATGAATTAATATATTTTTAAAAATTTCATTTTCGCCACTTTTGAATTTCTTTTCACCACTTTTGAAAAAAATTCGCAATGGGTGCAAATGGCGAATCAAAGCTCGAGCCCTGCATAAGACACAACATGGCATTTCTTAAGCAGTACTTACAGTGTAATACATTACATGAAAACATTTCTGTCCAACATGCCCCCTCACCTGGCTGTGTACTGTCAGAGGAGGATTTAACATCAGACATACTGACAGCATTGGGTTCTGTTCTCTGTATCACACCCTGATTCATCTTATGTTTGTGTGGATCTAGGGCTCCAAGCAAACCCAACACACGAATCACCTACAAAAAACATAAATGTTAACATAAGGATATGGGTATTACATGATACATGTACTGTACATATAGAAAGCAGTGATAATGAAGAATATTTTTTCATTACTTCTTGTTTACTCATGTTTTCCAAATGGATAAAGACTTACCTCCCTTCTGATTCCTGTAGCTTGCTCTGTTTTAAGGAAGTTAAGGAGGACTTCGAGCAGAGAAGGATACCGCTTGTAAGGCTCAATCACATACCCCGTACTCTCCACCAGCTGTCCCAGTGTCCAAAGGGCAACCTATTGACAAGGATATTTTTTTTTTTTTTTTACATTTTCCCTCCTTTTTCAAACAAAGTTATCTTACATGTTGCGACTTCAGATTAAAACACTTTTACTTTAGAATTCATATCATTTAAAAAAATTGATGCATTGAATTTTGTATATTTTTTACATGGAATTTTGTTTAACTCTACCTCTCTTTTCTGCAAAGATGAGGAGTCCTGCAGCATTTCTAATATCAAGGGAAGTAACTCATCCATCCACTTTCTCATCTCGGTCCCACTGACCTGTAATTTGAGAATAAAGAGAAAAAAATTACAACTGATGCAATAAGAGAGAAAACTTTCCACATGTAGCCAAAATTCTAACGATTCAAGCATTTTTCAGAGAAAGAGATAGAAAAGAGAGAGAGATGCACATAACAATTTCACGATCAGTTTCAATTTTTTAAATCTAAAACACACATGTTACATAAAACATGTAATTAACTGCACAAATATAACTTTTTTTAAAAATCAGTATTGTTTACCTGTGCCTGTTCCCCTATGGCTACAAGTACACTGATGGTGACATTGGGATTGGGATCAGGCTCCTTCAGTTTTGGGATCAGGGCATTCAGTATGGGCTCCATGTAAGGCCGGACCAGGCGAGCCGCATTGGCCACCAGGTGTCCAAGCATTTTGGCAGCTTGTTCTTTATTTCTTCCAACTCCACTGTACTCTAATTCAGTCCTGATCTGTAGACATCAAAATGTGAATGATGATTATATAACACAATCATATAGTTGATACCTACAAGTACCACCCATACATGTTCATGTACATGTAATCTTACACGAGCATAGTCCATTAACATTTTTGAATAAAAGTTTTGTGATAATCTATAAATAATTTTTTAAGAACTTTAAAACATATTTTCTACATATATACATGCTATGCTTGTAAATTACATGTATTTGTTGACAATGAAAAAAAATTTGTACTGTGTATGACAAACTTTGATTTCATTATTATGATATTTTTAGAGATAAACTATACTGTGGTACCAATCTTAAAGAAATTGTTAACCCATGTGATTATAATAAAACAAAATGTTTAAGTAGCTATTTAGATAAATGCTTTAAACAGAGAAAAATTCATGGACTATAAAGAATTGTGTGAAATTGTCATGCATGCTGCAGCCATTATAATTTAATTCAGTTTTCTGTTCTCTGTCACTTGCATTGTTACCTTGATTGTATGCCAACATGGTGATGTCAATGAATTGAATTTTTTCTACAGCAGTTTTATGTGAAATTTGTAAATTAGAAATCAAAGTGAAAATAGGATAAACACATGTATATGTACATTCTTTTAAAAAAAAGAAACCTTTGACAAATGTCCCTGAATACCTGAATGAGAGTTTTCCTCAGAGATGGCATCACATAGGCTGGGTTTTTACTACTAAGACGGCCTATGATACAAATAGCCAGCTCTCGGATCTCAAAAACTTCATCATTCAGGGCTACAAACAAGGCTGATAAATTTTCAGCTTGGGCAAGATGTGGGTCAAATCGGTCATCCATGGACACCAGAACACAATACCTTATGTCTGAATCTGCAACACCAAAGTTGACACTGATTTTCTTTAAACTTGTTCAACATGAAATGATGACAGGAACTCAAAAAAAATTGAATGTAGGTAATGACCAAAAGTTTACTTTGAAAAACAATTTCTTCAAATCTTTGATCACAGATATAAGCTGAGTAGTATTTTCCCCTAACAACCTGTGTATGTAATGCCCCCTACTGACCTTTGTCTGTAATGCCCTCCCCCCCCAACTGACCTGTGTCTGTTATACCCCCCTACTGACCCTAGTCTGTAATGCCCTGATTTGTAATGCCCCCCTCCCTACTGACATGGTTTGTTATACACCCCCCTCCCCTTCTGAACTGTGTCTGTAATGCCCCCTAATGATCTGTATCTGTAATACTCCCTACTGACTTGTGCCTGTAATGCCCCCTTACTGACCAGTGTTTGTAATACCCCCTACTCACCTGTGTCTGTAATGCCCACTACCAGGAGTTTATGCAACACCTCTGCCACAGTGTTCATGGCTGCAATGCTGATCTGTCCCTGACTGTTCGCTAATAACTTAAAAAAAATGTTTATAAATATATAAATAATTCCTAAGTATTGTAAAGTATTGTCAACAAACACAGATTTTCATCTATCATACATTCTTATCACAAAATTTTTTTACAACATGGATCTTGTGGTGAAAGCTTCCCAACATTTACACCCCTCCCCTTTTCTCTCAACAAGGCTGGTTTTATTCATACCGATAACTTTACATACCTGGAGGAGTGGTGTAAGCAGTCTGGCACAAGTACGAACAGCCTCCATACGGATCTCTTTGTGGTCACTCGATAGGTACTGCTCAGCACAGTGCTGTACAAACTGGGTCAGAGAATGACCTTACACAAAACAAAACAAAGTACACATTAAAAAATTTATGGTATTAACTATAAGATACGTACATTATTACACTACTCTGCTTATTTATCGTATGTGTAAAATGCAAATTCAAAATATTTGAATCTTATACTGGTAATTGAAATCATGAAATATGTACAGTTCTCACAGTTCTCATTAAAATTAAAGTCACCTTCAAAATCAAAACTTCCAAGGGTTTTCAAGGCTAGTGTAATGCTTGTGGCATCTTGAATGTCTGCTAGATTTGTCAGGGAGGCTGATAAAAAAAACAGAAGAGCAAAAAAATTGTGATGAACTGAAATGTTAATGTGGAGCTATCATATTCAACATCATGGTGTTTTTAATAAACTTGAAATCCCAACAAGTCAGTTTTATAAGTACTTTGAGAGTAGGTTACCTGACAGAGGGAGGGGCATTACAGGACTTTTAGGTGCCCCTGGGTGCCTGAGTTGTCTCCCCATCAAAATGAGTGACAAATTCTTCAGGAGCCCCTCCTGAATCTCTTTCTTCAGTTGAGGTATTTGTGTGGCCAGGTCACGTAGGGCTGCTGTCAGGGCAGGACTGAGGAACAAGAAGACAGAATTATATGACCTTATCTCTAGGTTTAAAGGTGCATATTGACACCTCCCCCCCAAAAAAAGGTGGGGTAATTTGACTCTTAGATCAAAGATCAGGTTGACATGGTGATGATGATTCATGTTATGCTGCCTAATGTTGATACACCCATACGCCAAACACCAGAATCCTAACATTACAACAAAAAAAAGTTATGACCAAATACAGTTTCAAGAGCAAGAACAACGAATAATTCAGAGTAGTAAAGTCTCTTTTTTGAAATGGAGACATTATTACTTATAAGGTTTGTTACTGACTGTCCACAGAAATATATCAGGTTGTTCAAGTCCATAAAAGGCAATGCGAACAACCTGACATATTTCTGTGGACATCAGTAACAAACTTTATAAGTGTTTTGTTTTGTTGAGGACCAATAACAGTTATCAAACCTACTAGAATCATATACAATTAAAAGATTTTCTCATCTGTGCAATCGTCTATCACTCGTCATCTTGTTGTTTACTGATTGAATAGGGGTTCTATTTTATTTCTTATTGCAGGATTCCCAAATAGGTAACAACATCAATATACTGATTTCTTTAAAAAGCCAAAAATAATACTGGCATAATTTTTTGTTGTAAATATGGATAATATATTACCGGTATCATTTTAAGTGAATCATGTTGCCATCCAAATTTTGCTACTCGCTGACCAAAGAAATACTGATGACATGCAAGTGGTGTCTGTTATCAAATGACAGAGTGTCATTCTAATCCAAGGCAAAATAAAATGAAATTATTGCATGATTCTACCTTAAACCAGTAGCAAACATGGAGTCTAACAAATCTCTAACATCCTTTATCATTGCTGGACCAACTGCCCTGGCCAACATACTGATACACGTAAACACGGCTGGATCCACTATCACATTCTTCTGTTTCCTTAAAAAATTGACATGTATTTGTTTTTATAAAGTACAGTACCATTTCATATTTGATAATAGATAAATTTTCATATGGTATAAAAATACACATGTAATCAATATTACAAAACATGTATCATTGTAACATGTAAAACTTGAGCATTGAAGTACCATATTTAACTACAGTCAAACCTCGTTATCTCAAACTTCAAGGGACCAAGAAAATACTTGGAGATATCCAAGGATTCGAGATATCCAGGGTAAAATACTTATGAAATAAGCGCTTGCGACTTCAAAATCACTTTGACATATCCATGGTATTCGAGATATTCGTGTTCGAGATACTGAAGTTCAACTATAATTTGTTTCCTGAAGAATAAAGTATAGAGAACTGACAGATTAGACACAGTTATAGTCATACTTGGCTGGTAAGTCTTTAGGTGGCAGGGAAGCCCTGATGACGTCCAGAATCCCTGGTAGATATCGCACAATGTTGTCCTGGACTGAGATGGCTAGAAGTCCAATGGCTTGGAAGGTGGATGTTTTGTCACGTGTTGTCTTTAGAGAGCCCAGCAGGAAGCTTATTGTTTCATCTAGGTACCTGTCATGTATGAAGAATGACACAAACAAATCAGAAAGAAAATACAGTAAAAGAAACACCTGAAATGAACTTAAATTCTTTAATAATGCAGTAAGAGAAAAGGAGATCTTGTTAAGAAATTTTAAAGGCATCTGTAATAATTCACAGGGTTTAAAAGTGTTGGAGTACATTACAATGTCATTTCTTTTTCCTTCAGCACCTTATCTTGGGTATTTCAATGTGCAGAAACATTCAGATTCTCTTGACCATGTAAAATAAGTCCTATAATTATAAACATGGACGAGAGAAGTTCCACTCATAACACGGACGAGAGAAGATTCACTCGTAACATGGACGAGAGAAGTTCCCCCTGGACTTGTAACACTAATTTCTAGTTTTATATGAAGAAAATTATGTATGTTGATCTTTCTGAACTTGTACAAATTTTCATTGAAATAAAACCAAACCAAACTTTATATGTAGGAGGAGTGGCATTTTCAAAGAATTTCATGCATTCTGTTTTAAGTAATTATGACAACACTGTTCATTGAAATCTAAAATCTGCATTTTGAGCATTAATATAGTCTACTTACATGTATTTACCAAATGTTATTGAAGTCAGACAAAGGCACATACTTCTATTAGGTAACACCCTTCATTGAAATCGAAAAATGATAAAAAGAATCATGTGTATTGGTGTAATCTACTCTAGCATAAAGACCCTGTCTGAAAACTTCTTTTTTTTGGGCGACACTAGTACCAGGTACTACAAATGGATGCAGTGGTTACACTGTTCATAGATACACTGGACCTACATTACAAACACCAACTGCCCAGAAATGCTTACAAACAAAATATTTCTCTTTTAAGGCCTTTACTAGCTTGTTTAAAAATACATTTACACTGCAGCTGTGTATTTGTAAATTTATTTACCATCTAAATGTAAAAAGCTTGTTAAAATATACATATAGACCACATAACAGACAAACTTTTTGGAGTCTCCTAAATTTTTACTATTCCTTGATCATGAAATGACAACCACATAACTTTTACGTACAGATGTTAAACTTTTGTCCAGATTATGTCCTTGTTGATACAGTGTATAACAACAACAAATTCTGTTTCAATTGATATTTTCACTTGTAATTTTTTATTACTTTACAAAAATAACGGAATTTCTAAAGTTATGCAAACAATTTTGAATTTAAATGGTTTTTTAAATAGATTTTTTAGTTTTATATAATAAACTTAAGTGACTGAGTTAACCAACACAATACATGTATTGATATAGTCAGGTCTAACAATATAACATAACGCATAAGCTCAAGAGGAAGTACCACTGATTTAGAGATCCCACTGATTCAGGACCCTCCTCCATTACAGAGCTTAGTATGGACAAATCCAAAACTCTGTTATAATGTTGCATTCATACATGTACAGTATACTTGAGGCAGACTTACAGTTTGGAGAATTCTTGAGGCTTGAAGGCCGCTAGGCGTGGAAAGATGACTTGTAGAATCAACTGAATGTGCACACTCTTACTGTTTCTGTGTCGCAGTAGTAAGGCGCACACCTTCAAATATCAACCCAAATTTAAACATGAGATATAGGATTCTCTTGACAGTCTGTTAATAAGATAATCTACTTCCTGTAAGCCATACCTTGTCAAAGTGACTCTCGACTAATTGTTTGGCAGTACGGCTTTCAAAGCTAATCTTCTGCTGGTTTTGTCGATTCCCAGACATAAAGTTGTTGATGGGGAAAGCTTTGTGTTGAAACTGCTGCAGAGCGAGAGAACTTGAGGGCTGAAGAGCCAAAGAACTAGAGGGAGACTTGTGGGTCTTAGACATCTCCTGTAAAATAAATTATATTTTCTAAATCAGAGAAACCCTTTTATTTTTTTACGCCTCCTTTATGATATTCTTTTATCTCATTATGAACAATAGAACACTCCAATTTTTTTTGTTAGTTTTTGAAATGTAAAACGTGTAACAATATGTCATCCACTTAAACACTAATTGTACATTAAGATACCTTAAGAGTTCTTTCATGTTGGTACTGCTGGTTTGTTATGTCCTCCATTTCCATTCTTAATCTCTGTAAAACAGCATCTATTATTTCAGAAACCATTACCTACCATTTCCTGTTATTTTTATCTTCTATTACTGTTTGTCTTGCACATCTGATGAATCTTATTTTTTGCAATTTTTCAGATGACCCTTTAATTACCTATACATGCACGGGGGCTTCTTTAAAATATCTCCCTTTATCAATAATGTATATTAGGGAGTGTACGTAGGACCCTTCTTTGAGCAAAAATGAATCCTTACCCACAGAAAATTTGCAAAAACATTTGGGAGGAAATGCTTAACTGATTTTAAAAGATGAAAATGCTTAAATTTACAGAAAATAGGTGCATCAAAAATAGACACAAGAAAAATTTGCTCTGAAAATCTCACTTGAATTCTTGGCTAATGTGAGCTAAAAACTTCTCATATTACCTCTCCCTCAATATTGCTGCATCTCAATATTTCATTCATGATGAGCAATGATCCATGAGCCCAGTCATCTCGAGATAGCTTCTTCTCTCGCCCTTGCATCTCATCATACAGTTTCACAGCCTCATCATAACATTGCTGGAACAACAGAATACACGAACATGTATACACTGTAAAGCTACTACAGTCAAACCTCGTTATCTTGAACTTGAAGGGACCAAGATTAAACTTTGAGATATCTGAGGATTTCAGATAACATGGGAAAAACACATAAAGAAAAATGGGTTGGGACTGCACAGAACATCACTTCAACATATCCCAGGTTTTTGAGATATAGGTGTTGGAGATAATGAAGTTCAACTGTACTTTTGTCTGTATCCTGTCATATTATGTATAGAATCATTTGACATAAAAGACTACCATATACCTTGTACCATTGTGCCTTCTGAGTGGCCTTGCTCTCTCGTTGTGAGGTAACGGCCAGAGCGGCCCTTAAAGCTGCTACAGCTCCTTCTCGAATGTTTGGCTTTAAATGCAAGATAGGTTAAATTTTACAATTTAAAACAACAGAGGTTATTATTTCATTAAATATAGCCATCACTGTAATCATTTTTTGAACATCAACTTTTTATTCTTTAAATATTTTTTTAAGAATCAAATCAAAAATGATATATCAGAAGAGATGCTGCATGAAACTGATAAATATACATGTAAGTTTGAGTAAAGTTTCCAGATTTATTTCAAAATAATTATGTATATCATTTCTGTAAAAGAAACCCTGTATCACACAATTTTTCTGCAATCTCTCTTTTTTTCATTAGAAAATCCAACAGAGCCTAGTCTCACCTTTGGATCTCTTACAGCATTGAAAATGCAATCAAAGAATTGCTGCACTTGTTGAAAGAAGAATGTAGGTGTGTTAACTGCAAGCTCTTTCAGAACCAGGACCTAGTAATTGTGAGGAAGCAATAAATGAACTCATTCTGCATGAATTGAATCTACATGTATTATGGAGGAGAAAAATAAAGAAGGCAACTTATTTAATCAAGATGCAGAGTTATTGTCTTGATACAGACATATTTGCTTGTGTTACTTTAGCTCAAACACAATTAATAATGATTTTGCAGTTAGAGACACTTTGGTATTTTACACAAACTCTTGCAATCTCTTTTTTTTAAACATCTTTTTTATTGTCCCATCAATATCTATCTTTTTTGTAAAAGAGAAAATGTCTCATTATAATTATAGGGAGCAGTTTTTATATTAAGTGTAGTGTAATGATTCCAGAGCTTCCCAACCCTGGCATTGAACTTAAGCTCTTATTTACATTATATTAATCTAGTTTTATATTCACCAACAGAAGAGCAGAAGACTAAAAAATATATCAAATATAAAGCACCTGAGATTTTCTGAGAATCAAACAGCACAACATAAACATAAAAAAGCACTAGTAAATCAATTTGTGTAGCTTAAATCAAATACAAAATGTACTTCCACAGACTTTGCATGTAAAAATAAAGCACATACTGCAGCTAGTCGCTTGCTTTCCTGTCGATCACCCGTTAACCATTCAAGTGCACGTTTCACTTCATGCTCCACATACTCTGCAGCATACGACCCAGAAGAAAAAGCCAGCCAGCCCACAGCTCGGGCAGCCATCTCCATCACTGATACATCATTAGACGGCAGAAGGTTCCGTAGATAATTTGAAAATCTACTTATTCTTGTAGACCTGTTCCCAACGTCAACTCCTGTCAGACTTACTAACAAAAAATAAAAACATTACATTACTAAAACATGGGATACTTCCTGTATGCTAAATTCTGAGACTGGAGAAATTTCTAATGGAGATTGGTAGAATACAAATTGTCTTCTTGACATCTCCTTTTTGTTTATTAATGTTTTCTTTGAATTCTTTAATATTGTGATATTCCAGATCAAACACTTTCATTAAGTCCTAATTACTTGTCTTACTACATATTATATTTCAAATTCTCAATACAATGCATTCATGCAGGTATAAAAACTAAACTGAATAAAACTGATATATAGTGATCTTATTATTTCAAAGGTATTTTTTTATTTTTTAAAAGCTTTTTTTTTTTGGTTTTACTACTGTTGTTCTCACGAAGTCCTTTATTTATTACAGGAGGTCATTGTTTCACATTGTGAGGTCATATCTGGTCAAAATTCAGGGGGAAAAAATCATGTCTTGAAATAACACATGTATGCACTAATTAGTTTTTTTCTTCAAATGAGTCTAAGTTTTACTGCAAGTGTAATATTTGCTTTTGTTGACAGAGAATTCAATCAATAAGAAAAAAAAATCCCTCAATGATATATGCTTTTCTTTAATGTTGCATATTTTCTTTGCCAAATAACTAAGCATGAAATTGTATGTTAATGAGACATACCTATAGCTAGTATGCCGCCTTTACGTTCATTCATGTCAGAGCTAGATACCATCTCAAAAATGAAATGGTTGAACTTGTCCATGAAGGTTGTGTGGTACTCGGATGGCATTTCCCGTAGTTCTGTGACCACAAAGCGATATAGATCCATGGCAGCTTTGTTCCTGACATCTTCATTCTTATTTTTCAGACCAGTCACAAACTGGGAAATGATTTCCTGGAGATGTTGTGTCATCTTGGCAAATTATGCTGGTAAATGTTAAAGGACATCTGAAATGATTGATAACGGATTTAATTAATAAATATCTACATTCAACAGTGTAAAAGTGTGTATAAAGGGGGGGGGGGGTGTACAGTTTATTTAATCAAAGACAAAAGGGGATGTAGATAAACTACATTTTTCTTTTTGGAATATTTGCTAGTACAGTTGAGTAATATTATTTTTTTAAACATAAAATGATCTAGACCTTTTGCAGTATACATTGAGTTTACAGTCATATTTTTCACAATTAAGCATTGCTAGATTCGACTATCAGGACTGGGGCAAGATTATAAATCACAAAAATATTTGAAGATATGCAAATCGTTAATCGTATTGAACTAAACAACATACCACCAAACAGAAATATGAAACCAAATGAGAACCCCAAGCATGCCCTTACGCCCTCTAAATATTTCTATCAACAGGAATAAGGATAAAAGAAGTGGCAGCAAGAAAAATGAATATTTTGTTGAATAAAATGTTTTAAACAATGCTTACAGATTTTCTGATAGTTCTAAGACTATAGAAGTGTCAAATATTTGGCATGTTTCATAAATTTTATCACCGTAATCACGTTTTTCTTGCTTGTAAAATGAAGCGGAAGTAAATAATATTACGACAATACTTTATAATTGAATTATGTGTATCAAGTTTCTGACATAGAGAATTTTGGCGAAAGAATTTACAATATCAAGACATTTTTTTAACCAGAGTGTTTATATCTATTAGTTGTTTAGCATTACAGTAGTTTACGATAGTTTGTAGTTCGGTCCGTTTCCGGTTTCAGTTTCTGCCATGAGTACAAAACATGACATAAACGGTATTGATAATTGCACAAGCCAGAAAGAGAGAAAAAATATGAGAAGCATGACATCGTTCTCATTGAATCTCAGAAAGTATTTTGTTGCTCTGCGACCATGGTCGTTCACGGCTTCTCTGACACCTGTAGCCTTAGGAAGCACATTGGCCTACAAAGCAACATCAGAGTTTAGTTTGAGTATATTCTTGGTGACCTGTCTCTCAGCTCTGTCAGTTCATGCTGCCGGGAACTTGGTCAACACCTACTTTGATTATCTAAAAGGAATCGATAGCAAGAAAGCAAGTGATGATAGGACATTAGTGGACAATGTGCTACCACCAGTGGTTGTTTCAAATTTGGGAGCCTTCTTTTACATAATGGGTTGCTTAGGATGTTTTGTATTGACATTCCTATCTCCGGCTAAGATGGAACATCTTGCTCTCATATACTTTGGTGGACTGTCTTCAAGTTTTTTATATACTGGAGGTCTAGGACTCAAGTATATCGCTCTGGGAGATCTGTTAATATTTCTGACATTTGGACCACTCACCGTCATGTTTGCGTATCTGAGTCAAACAGGACATTTATCAACTATGCCTGTACTTTATGCTCTGCCATTAGCTTTAAATACGGAATCTATTCTCCATGCCAATAACACCAGAGATATGGAATCAGATCGTAAAGCTGGAATTGTAACCATGGCAATACTCCTAGGGAAAACTGGATCTTATTTCTTCTTTGCATTTTTATTGTTTGTGCCATTCATTATCTTTGTGTTGATGGGACTTCATTTATCATCCTGGATGTTCCTTCCATTGATTTGTTTGCCAGAGGCCTTCAGTCTAGAAAGAGTTTTCAGAGATGACAATTTACAAAAACTACCACAGAAAGTTGCTAAATTAAATTTATTTTTAGGAATTTTATATACTATTGGTTGTATATTGTCAAACAAAGCAGCATTTGTTCTATGAAACATTTATTTTCAGAATAATATTTTGTGTGTGTTCTCTGCTACCATGAAGATTGATCTTCAACAATTTCATGCAGAGAAATGTGTATAAAGTATTCTTCTTGATTATAAGGTTATCATTCATCATTATTTTTTCATTTTAAAGACACATTCTATCCTAGTCATAATATGTTTTATGGTGTGACAGTTTGGGCGAGTGCAAATTCACACAGCTAAGTCACACTTGCAAGTTTGATCCAACTCTTTAAGTTTCACACTGCACAAGACAGTCTAAACTGTAACATCACATGATGTCGTATGTAAGTTGCATGTCTGTATTGTAGTCTAAATACTAAGGCCAAGTACAACATTTTAATGAAAGGCATTATAGAGTAGATGCAACTGTTTTTTGTTTCTTTTAAGCTCCTTGCATAATTTAAATCTTTACGAAACTAAGGGACTGTTATATTATTGTATGAAATCCTGGTAGTGAAGGAATTCTGGGAAGGTTGCACAGGAAAATTTTCCTGATGAAGATGCATGTTTTATTCTAAATTTCCTCTGTTCTTACACATTAGTCTATTGAGCTTGCTGTGCTCCCTATTATTACTGTTTATAAAATGAATTGAGAAAACTAAATACACTGCCAAATAGTTTCAAAGGAATATGTCAGTGATTTAAATAAAATTTAATTATTGCAGTGAATGTAGTGACTTTTAGTGCTTACATAAATTCCCTGTTTTGCATCGCACACAGGAATCATTAGTTTGTGCTGGATGAAATTCAAGCCCTTATCATAATATACAGTACTAACTGGTTCATGTGTCTTAATGAATGCAAATGATACAATATTTATATTTGATTTAAGAATTTATTTTTCAATGAATTTAATAAGGGACATGATGTGTTCTACTTTTAGAATGAATTGTAGAGATACTACAGAGAAATGTCATTGACAATTTGATCTTTACATTCACTACATGTTTGTAAATGACTTAGATATTAATAAAATTCTTGCATAACTTTTTGTGCTTATATAAATTCCCCCCTAGCCTTCTATAAACTGCACACTAAAGAACTCTTATTATGTGGTGTAATGGTGTAGGTCATGGATATCAGTCTGGGTAGCTCAGTCATGTCAGTGGTTAGAGCACCTGACTAGTGATGCAGGGGCCCCACAGATTTGTTTCTCAGTCCAACAATACATTTTCTTTTTTCCTGTTGCAGTGGTATTTTTACGCAGAGTGATCTGCCTTTGATCAAAAATAAAATGAATTAAAATCTACAGTATATTACTCAGTTTTAATCAATTCAAGCAGTCTTCAAATTTTATGCAATAAAAATGAGGTATTGGAACACTTTATTTAGATATATGTTCCCAATAAGGCAAGGGTGATATCTGTTCATCAATCTGAAAACATTTTGTCTGGGGACCCTATGCTTGAAAAAAGAAATAAAATCAATATTTACACCTAAGGACAAGTTCTTCTCTTGATCAGTGTCTAAAGAATATTTTTAATAGTGTATGTATAGTCTTTAATCGCACACAGGAACTGGTAATTTTTGTGTCTAAAATTGAATGTAACTGGCAAGGAGCAAAAATCAATGGGCAAAGTGGTATGTTGAGTTCTAGCCCCATAACCAGAATTTTGCCAGAAAGTTAAAATGAGGAGGGGTTAAATTTTATACAATATTTATATGAAAATATATTTATATGTGTAATGAAACAATATGTGTTTGTAGAACACTGATGCCAAGGTTAAAGTTTTTTCATAAGAAGGTTTAACTTCAAGTTCAAGAGTTCAAAAACGCTGATACCAGAAGAAAAGTCTTGTCATAAGAAATACACATATGAAATATGAAACCCCTAGCACTAAATGGCTAAGGTTAAAGTTCAAAAGTAGGTCACATTCCAAAGGCATGAGGTCAAAAATATTGGTACCAAAGAAAAGGTCATGCCACAAAGACCCAATTGAAATATAAAATCCTAACATTAAATCGTCCAAAAATTATAGGCAAGGTTCATGTTGTTTAATTGTACATGTAGGTCAAATGTAAAGGTTGAGGTCATGAGGTAAAAAAAATATTGGTACCCAATGAAAGGTCTTGTCACATGTAATACACCCGTAACACATGAAAGCCATAGAACCCACATTTCAAAAGTTATGGATACGTTTTAAGTTAATGAGATTTTAAAGTAGACCAAACTCAAAGGTCAAGGTCAAAAGGTAAAAAATGTTGGCGCCCAAACTAAAGTCTGGTCACATGATATAAACACGTGAAATATAAAAACTCTAGCACCAACCGTTCAGACGTTATAACCATTATTAAAGTTTGGGAAAATTTTGCAAAAGTAAGTCAAACTTAAAGGTCACGAGATCAAAATATTTTGATACCCAAAGAAAGATTACGTCACAAGAAAAACACGTGTGGAATATGAAAGCTCAAGCTCCAACCATCTAAATGTTTTGGGCAAGCAGACAAACAGATTAAAAGACAGGAAAAAGGACGGAGAGACCAAATTCTATATGCCCCGAATCTTCGTTTACAGGAGCATAAAATACATTTTAAAATGATTAAATACTTATATAAATTTCTTTGTGCATGTTTGTGTTTTTCGTTTTGAATTAATTAAAAAAGCTTAATAACGCCTTTTGACTTCGTGGTATAGCGCAATTTCAAAAGGCTTAGTCTTTTCATTTTGCGTTATGATGCCTTTTCAAAAGGCGTAATACGCTTTTATAAATGGCGTAGTAATGCCTTTCCACGTTGCGTTATTACGCCATTATGAAATCGCGTTATTTAAGGAATGGATTTAATAGCTACCCAAGTTATACTGTTTAACCTGGGTTGGGACAGTTTACGCTTTATATAAAAAAGCGTAAACTGTTCCAACCCAGGTTATACAAGTATAACTTGGTTAACTATTAAATTCATACCTTATAATTTAATTTTCTATCAATAATTGTAAAAAAAATAAGACAATCATCCCTTCAAAAAGGCCTTCAATTTCTTCAAATTTTAAATGTAACGTCACGCGGATTGATACATTTTTGACGTAAGTCATTGTGACGTAAGCAACACAGGTTATACGATATAAACGAATTTTTCTATCCAATCAAATGGCTTGTTACAACCAGAATTGAATTATTACGCTTTATTTGCGTTTAAACACCTTTTCACTTCGTGTTATAACGCCTTTTTGTGTTATTGTTTTCGCGCTTTAAAAAAGGCGTTATTACGCCCTTGAACCTTTTCTTACATAGATTTATCCTAATAGGTTTTCATAGTTATTTGAAACACCCTGGATATCTTTATTAAAACTCTTCTCCTTTAAATTCTATAAAAAAGCCCCTGGAAATGTTGGATTCGACTGATTTAGCCTACTTCAAATAATTTTCAGGAAGTTGCCCAGTTTGCGGACACCCATCTCTTTTAAAATTATTCGACATTTGCCAACTATATTCTGTCAAAACACTGAACCCCAACGACGACAGTGATTTTATCAATCTATAATCTTCAATAATAAAAATGCTAGACTAAGTATAAAAAGGATATAATGGTATTTATTCAATAGGTTTTTTTAATTACATATAAAAAAACTTACTTGACAAAAGTTTTTAAAAGTTTTTTTTTCTTTTTTGGTGGGGTCGAACTTTAGAGTATCAAGCTCAGACAAGCTAAACTAATGAAAATAGCAAAGGAATTCCTTAACCATGAAGAATATTGTTTAAAATGTCAAAATATCTTCAAATAGCTTTAAATTTCTTACCAATAGTGATTTAATTTAAAAGGCAAGAATTCAGATATATAAAGGAAGATAAATGCTGATATCGAAAATGCAAAACTTGGGTTGCGACTAGTATTGTCCACAAATAAACCTTTCTCGTTAGGGTAATTCCTGTTACAGGTGTATTAAATAAACTATTTAGAGTTTATAATTCGTCATTTTTGCCCACGATTCATTGCAGTATCAATTTAGCCACATCACAAAAATTAATTGCAATACCGCATGAAATAGTCGTTGTACTCCAAACGAGTATGGTAATAATTGGAACAATTAGCGCAACATGTTCCAAATTGTGCACGAGATGACACCTGAAGATTTAATAAGAATAATAAGACACCTGATTAATAAAGATCACAATAAACCCAAAGACAATGGAATCAGGCCTTGTCATCAGAGGTTTAACATGCGCAACCGTATCAGATAACGCAAATAAAGGGCTAGTCAGTAGTGATCTAACAACATAAGAAAAAGGTCAAATCCTGCGAAACAGTTTTATATAAAAATCTTCCATCCTTGCCAAGAACAGTTCCATTGCATGAATCTTCTATTGGTGCCAGTTATTTCAAGATCTAGACTGTAGTGAACGGACGCATTATTTAAATAATGGAGGATATTACGTGAAGTGAAATGGGAAACTCAGAAAGTGTGGATGATGGGGGATATGGGAACCAAATATCCCCCGGGGTCAGCAGACAGAGCACCCAGATCAATGTTCTGCCGGTGGAGGAAGGGATGGAGATGCGTAACTTCCGGGATACACGCCCAATGTCGCCATCCGTCAGTCGTCAGACGTTCGCAGAGAGAGCATGGAATGATCATAATGGTAGGGACCCTCCCCCCGCCGAGATGTCCAATGGAGCGATGCCTAAAAGAAAGGCGCCTAATCACCCAGGGATCAACACAAAGAAGGTTAAAGAAAAACTGGAGAAAGTTATGGACTATGTAAGCTACCATCTTAAATTAAAAAAACACTGGTTGAATAAACAGTTTCTAGATTTGTTTGTTAGCGTGAAAATGTCTCATTTGATATACCCCCTTATTATATTTATTATAATAATTTTGATGACATCATAACACAGTTATTTTAGGCTCTGCTCGGCATGCGGGAAAAAAGACTAGGTTAAAGCGTCACTTGTGTTACAATGCCAAATTATTTCAGCTTTATTTGGTTAACAATTTGGACCAATTTAAAGTCCAGTAATTTAACGAGTCTCATGTTACAACTGGGTGATTTTTTTTTTATTAAATAGTGCCTTAATATAAATTTGAGGAGATCACCCTCTCTATACTATTTAAGCAAAATATAAAATTTCGAAGGTGAACACACTGAGCTCATCTACATATATTCTATTTTCAACTTAGAGTACCTTGCCTTTACTCCCAAGAAAAATGTTAAAAGATAATGACATACTGAACTCTTTTTTTCAGTTAGAGAGGATTCTTAATTACATGAAATGTGTAAAACGTATTCAATATTAAATTGCAAAACTCACAGGCAAATATCGGTGCAGTCAGTTATTATAATTACTGCAGTAATCGTTTTTCTGCAAATACCAACGATTTATGAATCATGGACAGATAAAAAAAATTCCGAGTCTTGACATTGATTACTGTAAACACAGTTAATGTGGATCATCCCCCCCCCCCCTCCGAAAAAAATCAAGGATCCGCTCTCTGTGAATACTAATAATATATTTTAAAATATTTACGAAAATGAATATAGAAATTTTGTTATAGAATTCAAGTAGTAGCAGAAGCATAATAATAGGGCAATATTATCTCCTAACAAGGGAATAGCTGTATTTATAGGAGCTATATATGCTTATTTCTTTGCCCAAATCTCTGCGCAAGAACAGCATTTACGACAATTTTGAGTTTTGTTTATTAATGCGAAAACATTTTGGTCCACCGGTTTGGGGCATCAATAAGGGGTTCTAAATAAGATGAATTTATATATGAGCGAAATTCTTACAGAGTTTCAACGTTTAAATCATTCAGAATCTCGGAAAAATTACGTATATCACGTAGTATTTCTTGTAGTGTGCTTCGTTTTTCTGAAATCATGATCTGCAGGACCACATAAGTTTCAAAATACCTTCTTTTTATTCAAAATTTTAAGTATAAAATTAATTACATCTTTTGGTCTAATTGTTAATAATTTTAATATGCATATTAAATAATCTCTTTTATAATAAATAAGTTCTGTTAAAAAAAAAAGAAAGAAATATTCGCTCAAAGACAACACGGCAAAAATATTTCCGTTTTCATTAGAGTCAGACTGTGTGACAAAAGTACCGTGTAAAAGACTTCTTAAAATCATCTCTGGTTTTATTTCAAAATATTAGTGGGGTAAAAGATCCTTGGATACCTCAGTTAATTCGCTCCAATGGTATCGGGGCCCATTTGGGTATATGAAATAAACATACACATGTAGAACTGGGATATTGTTAATTCGTTACAAATCCATAAACTTGAATTATGATTCAGTAATTTTGGTGAACAATGTACAGTGCGTATTTTATTATCCTGCAATAAGAGTTAATCAAAACATAGCATTTTTACACGGAAGCAATATTCATCCTACATATAGACGATATTGAAAGTCATATATGACGTATTTTTGATAAGTTCAGACTAACTAGAATTAAAACTATCTTTCTATTTGTTTTATTGCTTTATATAAAGATAGGACTTTCCTGTAAATTACACAATTTAAATCAATCGCGTTTCATATTAGAAATTTAAAACAATAACCGATTTATTTACCGACTCCGCCTTTAAATAACAGAGACAGTTTAAAGTCAATTTAATTATGGAAACATGAGGTTATATATTCAAGTTCAAAATCGGTGAAAATTTTAATTTGAACGTAAATAACATATGTTTATCTACACTCAATCTCGTGTTTTTATTTTTTAGCTCAGATAACGCCATATATAGCTTTAACACCCCTATTCATAGCCTACTAGAAATATTTGTTTTAATTGCAAGAATTTTAATAATTTTTTAAATCAGTCTGATTAAAATTAAACCGTGACAATCAAACTAAAAGGAGCTAGTGAAGGTTTGATTTTAACCAGACTGTTAATAAATTCATAAAAAATAACGTTTTTTTATAACAAAAATTTTCAAATACATTCTGTCATTAGGCAACTCTTTTCGGTGAACCAGTTTTTCGTAACAGTACCTATATTTCATGAAAAGGTACACTTTACTAAAACAAGAGATAATTACAATATATATATTTTTTAGATGAAAGCCAAACGTTCCAACACGGATATTTCTGTTCCGGCATCTGCTAGAGACGTTGTGTACGACCTGGACGAGACGTTAGATCCGGGAGAATACGTGAGAGACAGTACGAATAATATAATAAAAAAGTCCCAACTATTCCCAGAGGAGAAATATAACGTAAGTCAGAGAGAGAGAGAGGATAAATTCCCATTGATTCAGATACATATGTACACTAAGTTGCTCTAGATATGTGTATAGCTACTAGTAATTTGTACAAATGTAATTGATTGAAGATCAATTATAAAAGATTGAGAGGAACACATTAACAGGATTTACAATAACTTGATTCGAAGTGACAAAAAGTTGTACAGCTAGATTAATAAGAATGATTGCAGAAAGGTAGAGGTTTGAACATAATAGAAAGTTTACTATATGTATTTCTAAATATTTTAAGAATTTAATATTCGCATCACTTACAACCAAAATAGGCTAAAAAAATATATTAATCAATTCAGGCATCCATTTTTTTTATATCATCTGTTCTAAGATTCATATTTTTTATTGCCAATAATTCTAGTTGCTGTAATCTTTCTCTAAGATTGATGTCTCGTAATGACAAAACGTAATTTACGTTTATTATGATTCAAAAGAGACAGTACCATGTGCCTTAAACAAGTAAAGCAGACAGGAAGAGGGAATTAAAGCTATCCAACCACTTAAATGTAACGCAATGTATGTTCTTCCGAGAAAATCAGAATTCTTTAACACACAGAATGCACACTGTTGTAAAATGATTCAAGTAGATCTGGGTAACTCGTACACTATTAACATAGAAAAATTAATCTCTAATGTCACAGATTTAATACAGGTACACAAATGAAAACGCCTAACAGTTTAAAATAAGAATAACCCGATTATTCTTTTATGATAAACAAGTGGTGTTTTATTGGACCACGAGTTTCTATGTAGCGTGCCTTGCTATGAGGGGGATGCTTAATTTCTGCCGGCAATCTCGACAACACCTTTCAGATAATGATGTGGTTGTATTTCTTTAGGTGATTGGGAAGTATTTCGAGAGGATGGGTTCCACCTATAGCGATATGACTCCCGAAAGCTCGGAAAGGACACCTTCCCCCGAGGAATATGGAGGATCAATGATGAAGAAGCGGCCCCTGGGTGACGACCCACGACCCTCTAGCGTCTTCGAAGAGAAGAAGAAATCCCTGGAGGATGAGGAACCGAAGAACAAGCTAGCGTTATCACAACTGGTAAGATTATAGACATATAGGTTCAATAACTTGTACAAGTATTAGCTAGTTAACGGTTCTTGAAAAAAAAATCATCAAAAATGTCTTTTGACAATAAAAAAGATTAAGAAATCAGGAGAAAAAATTAAGTAACTAGCTTACACAAGTTATTTAACTTCTATTTCAGTCCCAATTCTTGCAGATTTTTTTAATTGTGTTTATTGGTTGATACTGTTCTTTTCTCAATTACTAGTATACAAAGATCGATTTTGCTGTAGACACACATATTTTGTCAAAGTAAGCTCTATACTGTGCGATATATAGTATTTTCCAAATATTTATCATATAAAAATTAAGTTGCTGGAATAATTATTCCTTCTTTTATACCGAATTGTCTTACTTAACAAACTTAACAAGAACATATTTGAACTAAGTATGAGGTCTGAGCAGGCTTCAGCCATAGTACTACTATATATATATATATTTTATTGGAAAGATTAAAAAATAAATTCTATCTTTACAATCAAGCCAGTGTATTGTGGTCCATTTGTAATGAAGGTAAAATTTCCAAATGATCAATATTAATGATTCTAACATTTAAATATTTAATTCCTTTAAAGGCATGTCAGTATAGTCTAATTTTATATCACTGTTTCCTTTTATGCATAAATTAAATAAATTTAACATTAACAGCAAACACATTTTGTCAAAAAATATGTGATAAATCCTTTCCTAAATGACGTACAAATTAAATGTAAATCAAAAATATTAATTTCTTTGTTTTTATGAATATAGCACTGTGGGTCATTGTTCACAGGTTTTAAAGTTGGCAAAATTTGGTTACAAAGGACAGGGGAGGGTATTGTTATCCCCGAGCTGCCAACTACGTGATAGATCTATATCACTGCTATTGCAGAATATTTAAACATAACGAACCATCGCCTTACAATGTTGCTCAATACGATTTTATATAGAGGTTGTCAAATGTGAGATTTACTTTAGAAACGATACATTACACTAAATAAAGTTCAAACTCTGTCTTGTATCTAGATTTGCATACAAATCGATATGTAAAACATCAGTTGAATCCCTAACTCTTCCTAAAATCCTCAAAAAATTCCTAACACCACCACCAGCAAAACATCATTATTATTAGATACCAGAAAAGAAAAGTGTTAACACATATATGACTAATATACGTAAATTCAACCTGTATTGCATGAATAAAGAAATAGATTTTTGCTTTGTAACATTGCTAATAACGAAAACATTTATAATTATAACCCCTTTTGAAAATTTAATATTTAAACATGTAAAAGAATATTTTTATAATAATTATCGAGGTGTCCAAACATGTCACGGCTATAATGGGTGCATGTTATGAGATCAAGTCCAATTAATAATCTTACAAAGAAAGCGCAGTATAGCGAGATAATTTTATTACAAAATTAACACATTAATTGACAAATAATTCTCGCGAGAGTGAAGCATTTCTAATTACTGTACTTTCTTCATGTAAAGTCAACAGTTTTTAATGAGGAAAATTATCTTATCGACTGTGTCTGAGGAAAGACAGTTTCTTAATTTTAGGATGAGAATTCCATCTCTTTATCACTGTTATTTAAATTTATTTATTCGAATGTCATTTCGTTATTCGATCGTCGGTCCATTCGACTGATAGTCGAATAGTCGACTATTCGTTGACATCCCTAATATATATATATATATATATATATATATATATATATATATATATATATATATATATATATATATATATATATATATATATATATATATAATTGTTATGATTAAATAATGTAACATTCGAGAAGTATAGGGAAAAAAAACAAATATTTTGTTCTAAAAAATTCCATCTCCTTTTGTTTAGAATATAATTGTTATGATTAAATAATGTAACATTCGAGAAGTATAGGGAAAAAAAACAAATATTTTGTTCTAAAAAGTTCCATCTCCTTTTGTTTAGAATAGAGAGGTTCCTGCGATACAGTTCGCCACGATGAAATTCCACCGGAAGTGTGAGTTTTCTCATACTCACTTTGTATACACACGTGACGAATCGCTACTTCCTGATATGCCGCCACCCCATCCACCTTACACCCGGAAGTCCGAAATTTTCGAACCAAGACAGTACAGGAAAGTCGACAAGAGAGCCTTGAAGGTAAGAGGAAAACATCTCCGTCAAAAACGTTTCAGACACCAAAACTGCTTGCGAAAGTTCGCACTGGCAAAGGTTTTAGAATTGTTTATCAGACAATCGTACACAAGTTTCTTCTCTTTACAAAAAGAGTCAAGTTTCTTTAACATATGAGCAATGCAATCAAATAGTGACAGCATTTACATATTTATGAATGTGACAGGATTAGTTTTTACCCTATTCGCCTCTCAATACTCTTAGCTTCTATGAAAAAACGAGAAGTGAGTCGTCTAAAATTGAAATAATATTCAATGTAAAAAAAAAGGTATGACCATGAAATGGTATGCATCTTGTATTGGATAATTAATTAGTTTGCATGTTTTGATATTTGCAACATATGCAAATTATTGAGGAGAAAACGTCTGTCTTAGACTCGGGAGAAAAGAATTTTCGAAAACTTTACAGCAGTAAGAATATAAGATTTTTCCATTAAATTGCTTATTTACACATTGAAAATTATTTTCAAGGTTCCTAAAACTTTTCTGAACAAGTTGCTCTGTGAATTGGTTGGTCACCTGACCGACAACTACAAAAGTGACATTGCCAAACTTCGAGCACTCTACGTTTGGCTGACTTCTCAAAATCTTCGAAAACTGAAGCTTCCACTGAAACCAGCACGAGAAGGACACGTATGGCACTACCTGGAAAAAATCAAGAAAAAGAAAGGAAACTACGCACAACTTTTCAGTCATCTTTGCAAGTAAGCCATTTCACAGTTTGTTATCCTGATGCCATAATTTTGTACAAAATTACAAACTGAAAATTTTCCAAGATTATTTCATGTCGATACAAGAGACAGTAAATGGGGATTACTTTATTTTTAGTTTGGCTGGTCTCCCCTGCGTTGTAATACATGGTTACCTGAAAGGCAGTACATACGAGATAGGACAAACTCTGAACAAGGAATCTCATTATGGCGAATGGAATGCTGTTCTGGTGGACAACAACTGGCGTCTTATTAACGCTTATTGGGGTGCCTGTGCAGTAGAAGGCGATAGCGACAGTGACATGACCACCTATCGTTTGGATGAAAATTTCTTTATGCCTGATCCTGATCAACTCGCCTACACACATTTTCCAGAGGAACAGAAATGGCAGTTGATGGAACCTTCCATGTCCATTTTTAGCTTTGAAAGGCGTGCATTCTTAAAGGAACGATTCTTTGAATTGGACATGCGAGTTTTATCACATCCAGACTGTGAATTTAAAGTACACAATGGGGAAGATGAAATCCTGTTTGGAATGAACGGAGAAAGAGCACCACATCTTAACTTTATATGTTTGATTTACCTGAAAGAAGAAAAGGATTATCGGCTTCTTTACGATGATGAGAACAGGTATCAGCACGATTTTCTGTACAAACCAAATGAGGATTCCTTATCAGTTAGAATACGTTTTCCTAAGCGAGGCACATACCGTGTTGAAATTGTTGGCAAAGACACAACTATACAGGATGAAAACTACGAGTACGACTGGATTGCTATTTACAAAGCAACCGTTGTCACCGGACCAAAGAAATACGCAGCCTTCCCTAAAGCTGCTGATGTTGGCTGGGGAAATAGCCCACTTTTACAAGAATTGGGGCTTACCTCAGCAAACTTTGAACAAAACAGGGCAGTAGTTACTGCAGAGGAAGGAATGTGCACAATTGCTTTTAACATCAACACACCAGAGGCGGAGGATTTGTCACTATCTTATAAAATGATAAGCGTCAATTCTGGACTTGAAGATGTGGCTATGGAATCCGATGCATTTGTCAAGGAGGATGGAAAATTCCAATGTTATATTAACATACCACCGGGTGACGAAGGAGCGTTCTGTTTGTTTGCACAAGTTGACGACCCGGAATATGGCTCTATTGAAAAGAACATTTGCAATTACCTTATCTTATCCACTCCACTGAAAGAACTTGATCAACAAGAAAAGAAGGAGGTGAAGGTGGTTGAAGATGGTAAGTAACTGTTATTTGTATTAGACCATGGATACAAAGATTCATGCCACTTTATAATTGATGATGGTAAGGAGTTGTAATTTATGTTACACTAAGACTGAGGGAAACAGGAATGCATGGTTTGCTTATTTATAAGATTGTGATTATTTATATATTAGCTGTTATTTACCTTATTTAAACAATAAAATGCTTTCTTTGGTTGTTAGTAAGGGAATTAATGTCGCAGCTGTTGCAGAAAAAAATACATAACCCGCTACGTAGATTTTTTTCTGCAATAGCTGCGACGTTAATTCCCGTACTAACAACTAAAGAAAGACATTTTATTGGTTATACATGTATTTATATCTGTATAAATAATCATTTAAAGTAGGATTAAAAAGATTAATTATTGTATTATTGATATGTACGTCATAGTACGTTTCATTGATGGAACAGCCACTAATCAAGAAATTTGTACAGGTGATGAGCCTAGTGTTGTTCATGAACTGATAACGGCAATGGTTTTCTTTATAAATAAAAAAGAAAAAATTATTCAGTGGATGTAAATATACTGAGATATTTCGACAAAAGGAAGCTGAACATCCATAATTTAAACAGACTTGTAAAATATTTTGAGAAAGAGCTGAATTTGACGATGTATGGAACTATTTATTAGAACATTTAATATTATTATGTCTCAGAAACTGCACTTAACTCTTTGCAGTGCTCGACGATGCTATTCACTTTAAACAGCTTGAAATGCTCGAACGTGCTGTTGATTTGGTCGAAACAAAGAGAGTTGGTCGTCATATGTATATGAAACTGGAGGAGGCGAAGGAGAACATAGACCGTCTGAAAAACATCTCGAAAATGATGCACAAGGTTTTGGCTTTAGATCAGAGGACCATTGCTGAAATCCGCTGCTACTCAAATCCATCTCCTGAGATTCATGCTGTGATGAAGGCAACTCTGTTGCTATTGGGGCATTTCGAGGAAGAAACCCGAGTAAGCAATTGAAAAAAAGGTTCACGTAAATTTTATCAATTAATTTTAACATTTAAGCATGGCATGCACAAATGTATTTTACCGTTATGATCGAATTTTAGGATTGGAAAAACGTCCAAGCTATCCTCGGTAAAACAGGCCGTGCATCACTAAAGAGGAAGATAAATATGTTTGATATTAATCACTGTAAGTTAGACATAGCTCTTGGAGCCCAAAAACTTCTTGGTGACATGAAGCTGGAAGACATAGTGAACCAAAGCTGTGGAGCGGCAACGTTCTATGAGTGGGTAAGTGAGCAGTATTATTTTAAAATATCGCTTGAAAATCTGTAACTTATCAATACATTTTAAAAGAACCGGTATGTGTCATAAATCAGGTTCATTTTACTGCGGAGGAAGTTTCTCATAGAAGACGAGATGAAATGATGCAAGCTGTACCTATAGTGACGTTAGCAGCAACACGTTTGAAAGCAAAAACAAAAAATCTGGATAAAGTGCGAGAAGCAGCAAATTCTGATCTTGAGAATGCAGTTTATCTGAAACGAGACTCACTTTCCCAAGAACCCCCTGGGTACCAGACTAGCTTTGCAACTAATATGCCAGTATTTAAAGAGGTTAACGAAGAACAGCAGGAGGAGCCTGATCTTCCAAGCCCTTTTAGTAAAACTCTCAAGAATCTGAAGAAAAAAACTGATCCCAAACCAGCAGTAGAAAATGTAGGAGCAGTTGGTGGAGAGGACTACGTGATGATATCGGACGAACAAGACATTCCAAAACAGAAAGTCGAGGCTGTTATTGAACCGCCCAAAGATAACACAACCAAATTACCTGGAAAAGGACCAAACAAACCAGTCAACACAAAACCAGCAGGGAATGCTAAAAATGGTCAGGAATCTAATATGAACGCACCACAAAAAGGCGCACCCACAAATAAGAATTCTTCATCGCTTCCAGCCCCAAAATATGACCGTTTGGTGGAAGAAGTAGGAGGACTAGATAAACCCCACCCCGAGTTTGCCAAGGAAATGGAGAAGCTTCCCGATTCCAGACCTCCTGAACCCCCTGGTGAAGACTCTCTTCTTCCTGGTGATGAAGATGACACGTACATGAAAATGTGGTTAGCCAGAAGCTAAAGGACTTCGTGGAGGAGCTATGGTGAGAGTCTGCTCTGGCCACTGCTTACTTTCAGTAATATGGAGTTGCTGTGGCTTACTTTCAGTAATATGGAGTTGCTGTGGCTTACTTTCAGTAATATGGAGTTGCTCTGGCTTACTTTCAGTAATGTGGAGTTGCTCTGGCTTACTTTCAGTAATATGGAGTTGCTCTGGCTTACTTTCAGTAATATGGAGTTGCTCTGGCTTACTTTCAGTAATGTGGAGTTGCTCTGGCTTACTTTCAGTAATGTGGAGTTGCTCTGGCTTACTTTCAGTAATATGGAGTTGCTCTGACTTACCTTCGGTAATATGGAGTTGCTGGTGTAGAGGATATAATTGGAACATAACAACAAATAACAACAGCTGCTGATTAACTGGAACAAAAAAAAACATGTCATGCTATTAATTTACAAAAAAATGTGCTTGTTTGATACTTAGCGAATAACAGTTAATAACAGTTTGTGATGTGTAGTATTTTAGTTGTTTTAACAAGCAGGGGCATAATATGTTTCATTTATCATTTTTACTGAGGCATTGCGGTGTTTCTTTGCTTTGTTTTAATGCATAAAGATTAATAAGCTGATTATCTCCGAAGCTTTACCAAAGGTGACATTTTAACTGATAATGGTAAAGTAGAAAAATTCTAATTCATTTCATGACTGTTTTTTTTTTCAGACAACCGAAATCATTGAAGAAATGAAGAAAAGATTTACAGACGACGTTGTCAACACCACCATTGCTCGAACCCGGACTTCCAGACTGTCTTACACGCGACAAAGAACTTCTCTGTATAATGAACTTTGATTTATTTTTTCGTTACTAGTATACCATATATATAGCGGTGAATTTTAGCGGGGTGCTAACTTTGGCTTTGGCTTTTAGCGGTTTTATAGTAGATCGTCAAAATTTTGATAGATAAATTTGCACCCATTAGAACTGAATGCAAGAAATTAAATATCTTAGTTAAATAATTTTGATCAGTCTCTTGTTAAATAAATCCTTCATCTGGTATTGGTATTTATTCAAACTTTTGCGTAAATCGGTATTCAAACGTATATTGAACGTACTGAAGATAATCTAATGATGAATTTTATCTCTTTCACAAACTCACGGAACTCTTTGTCCGCTAAACAAAATTCGCCAAAATTATTGGCATACCTTTGAGCAAGCAAAACGCCAAAGTTTACACCAGCTTAAGAAACCCGCTATACGGTACAGATCTCTTACCAACATGATTTGAATCATTCTTGATACATTATGTTCATGCGCTTTTTATAAACAATACTCCATCGTGCTTTTCAAATAATTTTTTTTTTTTAAAAATCAGTTAAAAAACACGAAAATACTGCTAGTATGCGCATAAAAAATTTATATCTTATACTTGTATGCAAGAGAGAGAGAGAGAGAGAGAGATCATCCAGACAAGTCCAAAGATGGCACTTTTCCTCTTTGTTAGAAAAATTAAAAAAGTATTAGGAACGGGCTCTTTGTTATCCCACTATACTCCTGTACCCAACTTAGTCCTCAGTGTCATATGTTGAATTGGTTGATATTTGAAAAAGGAATCGTGTATTGTACGCAAACCTTTCAATGCCGTTTCATCCAGCTGGGAGGAGAACATTATCATCAGTATTTTTTATGGAGCCCCTTTTCCGTTTAATTGTACCGCTTAAATCGCCATACATTTGTAATACATCGAGAAAATGTTAAATAGTGTGTTTATGAGTAGACATATCAATTTAATACATTGTATATTCTTATCTGTGGATTTAGAAATAAAACACATTGCTCATTCCACTGTTACATTAATTAGCATTCTAGATGTTCCTGCTACATTTGCATGGAATTTTTTTTCAAACCATTTTAGGACTAGGTATTCTCATTGTATGCTATGATTATGGATGTTGCCAATCAAATGCTTTTAAGCCGCCACGTTTTATGGAAAACAAGAATTCTGGAGAATTTCGTCTGTTCCTTAAATCAAAATTTGCCAACAAAGGCATTGACATCGTAAACGATGATATTCTTAATCACAAAGGGGTTCAGTCCTGTATTCCACCATATTTCATGCTGGTCCACATATCTTGTATATTTCTTATAAATATTCATCGATTATTGCTTTTAACATTTTCTAATAACAAAAAAATCTCTAGAGTTCCTAGATATCAAATATCTGGAACATGATCCTCCTACGCATTTCTGTTCTTCTCCACAAAACTATAGTCCAGCTGGACACATCTTTGTTGATGACATGAATGTTTAGTTAAAATGAGGAAATCACTTATTTTAAAGGGCAAAATTAGGGATCCACATTCTTTCAACTGTCGAAAAAGTTCATAAATGTTATGAATTCTGTCGAAAATTATGCAAGACAATAGGTCAAATATGAAGAAGACCTTGATACTTCGTAAGAATGGGATTAAAGTGTAAGATGTAAACGGCGAAGATCTCAAAATTCCGGTAACAAAACGAATCTTGAAAAAGCCAAAACACGGACTCCTGGAAATACCAAAGGCGGGCTCAGGTGCCATAGATGAGTAAGTATTCCCTGTCGACCGGTCACACCTCCATGAGTCTTATGAATTGATTTAGTAGACAGAGTACTCTATAATCAATTTAATACAAAAGCAATGTCCTTACAGATGATATGAAAAATGTCAGAAAAAATACGACCCCAATGACTAAGTTGTATTCACAAGTAAGTCATTAAAACGACCGTAGAATTCGCGAAAAGCTGACTTAAATCGGGGTTGTTGAAATCCTTAGACATCATCGAATTTGTCAGTAGCTTGCCAAGGTTTTAAAAATTGATTGTACTCGAATACAGCACCCTCTTGCGCATCAAATCAGTTGGGAGACATAATCACCATTGATGTTGGGATATTACTACATAAATGAGTGAAGTTGACGATGCCAAAGCTGAAGTACTCGCTGTAATCCCGTATGTCATACAGTATAGGTATTAGTAGGCCAGTAACAGCTACAGCTAATAAAACATCCAAATATGAAACAGATTATGCAGACCCTCTGGTGTCTTTTATTTCGAGTTCACTGGGATATATTGAGTATGACATTTAATTGATAAAGTGTCGTCGGTATATCTAAATGTAAATTTGAGGACCACAGCAAGAATTTTCTTCTAGTATAGAAGTTTTTGAATTTATAAAAAAAAAATCTCGTTGGCAAATAAAGGAGCACAGTTAGTGTTAAATACGAATTCCAACATATTGATGGAGAAACTGGGCTCGATCATCTAAGAGGAACTGCAGTATCTTTTCAATACCAACTTTAGAATATTTGTTTGTACAATTAAAATATTTTTTTACAGTTATTTTGTAGAAGACCAATCAATCATAAAATATTAAATTTAGAAGTTCCATTTTTATTGAGGAAGCAATTGTCTATGATGTCAAAAAGGCTTCTCTTTAATTTACGGTGAAGAATGATTGAAAAAAAAAACAACTTAGAAAAGTTTGATTTGATGCTACTAATATTTGTACATGTTTTGCAATTTTAAATATTCAAGAATTCCTTGGTGATTTTAGAATCCACATTTGATTTACATTACTTCTTGAATATACTTCTGACGTTTCGCCTTTCACAGCAGTAAATAATTTGGTAACGAGTAATGATAAGAACTCGGATGAACATTTACTAAACCTTGAAATATTAATTTATTTGAAAGTTTTTATGAAGTGCTGAATTCCTAAATATGTGTGATAAATCAAACTCACTTCTATTGACTAGAATGTTATTGACTAGAATATAAAACTGAAAAGTTATTTTGAAGAATCTAATCGTTCAAAAAGGAACTGTGAGTTAAGGCTGGATTACCAGATGTGGAATTAAAACCAAGCTTTTCTTAAATGCAGTTTTAATAATGTATAAAGACTACATCGTTAAAATGAAAAAAAGAAGATAAGAATAACGAACAGTGATCGATTTAAAAATCCTTCAGATGAGTACAAATTGGTGAACAGGGCTTAAATCCCTGGAAACTCCAGAGGTGGGATCAGGTGCCCAGGGGAAGAATGCATCCCCTGTCGAGCAGTCACACACTCCGTGAATCCTTATGTTTTGATCAGGTAGACGGAGTATTCTGTAAGAGTTTTCTTTTAGTCTTTTTAATTCGTAAATCATTTCCGGTCTGCTAAAAAGGAAGGATAGTTCGCATCTGGCCTTTTATTTTCTAAGGCAATTTTTTAATATAGTCTTCCTCTTCAATTTAGTCCATCACTTCGAAATCTCATTTTAAACGGTTAAGGGCAATACGAAAGCAACTATCCTTTTTTTCAGTAATTCAGAAATGGCTAAAAAAAATTAGCTAAAATATTAATCAATGGTCGCAGTGATATTTCTCTTTAGAACTGTTTCGGTAATGTTTTCAGTTAAACTAGCTCACACAATTTTGGGTGTCAATATCATATAAGTACTAAAAAAGAATACAGATATTTTTCAATTTAACAACGATTTGGTTTTGTTCATTATTTCCTGTTCCAAAATTTTTAGCCTACACACGCATTAATCAATTTATTAGCCGACCTTTTTTTCCTTATGAAGCAGAATTTACTCAGAAACTTCTGCCTGAGACGAAGAAAACACTTGTTGTGGCCTTCAACTCGAATTCAGGTATTTCGACGACGTTTTCTCAGTTATCAATTGTTTCTTCCATTCATGTCGACTCCTCCTAGGCACCTGATCCCACTTCTGGAATTTCCAGGGGTCCGTGTTTTATGCCGGTAAAATAATACATTACGTTGCTTAATTTTAAGGTATCGCATTAAGAAATCTGAATTTGCAAGCATGTATTAATTGTTGAAGATCTTTGTCTAATCTACTCAAAGGTTGCCATTTCAATTAACTAAATGCAATTATGCTGCAATTATATTCAAAACGGGAATAATAGGATTCCATGACTGGTTACATATGAATATGCCTAAAAATTATGAAATCTGTTTTTAAACCGAAATATTGTAGATGTTTACATTCTACCCTGTTATTCTGTCTTGATTTAACAATGATGACATTCGAAAAAGAGAATATTAAAAATTGATTTTGTCGAAATACATCAAATAAATATAGCAAAGTTGTTTATAAATTGATTTAACGAAAAGTGTACCTACTTGTTACATGAAGCAGTCATTATCCGCAAAAATGTCAATAAAAGACTCGCATTAAGGACAGCTAAGTACATCATCTGAAATCATTAATTCAGTTTGCGCTTAGAACATGACACACATATGTAGCATAATTAAACAAGACTCAGTTTTCCTAATTCATTAGATATTTGTTTTATCTTGGTTATAACAATAGCATCGGTTATTTTTAGAATTCAACATCATTATTTTTTTCAACATTGTTGATTTAAAATTTAATTTTTATTAGCATTTTAGGACGATATCTTCCCTAACTTTTTTTTTACCTTTGATTTTTTTGACAATGTGAACTTAGATCCCTCTTTAATAGGAATGTGGATTTTATTAAAGAACAACTTGGTTTTCTTATATATAATATAGAGACATAAGTACGGCAATGGACAATTTTAGATTTTTTTCTATTTTAAGATCATTTATAAGCGAATGGCAAAGTTGAATAAGTTCTGTAAGTACGTTGTCTGGACTAAGCGAGACTCTTTTTCACAATTGGGAATAGCACCTCACGAAATCATTAATCTTTTAATCAATCAAAATCCCGCCTTGAAAAGCTATAAACTTTTGTTCATGCTCGCCTTTTGGAAAAGATTTTTGGACTTGTAGTACATATCA